TATTTGAAAAATAAAAGTATAATAAATATAAAATTTCATAAATTTCTTTTTAAATTTTCAACTTAATAATATATATTCAATTTGATTATTCTAAAATGGAAGAATACATTTTTACTACCCAAAAGGAGTATTATTAATATGTAAGGGAGAGAGAGTATTGGTTTTCGTTAGTAACTTAGTGTTACGGGTGGACGCTTATTCATTTATCTAAAAATTTAAGTTGTTGGTTTTTGGATCCGATGTGGGACAAATATCTCTTGAATTCGGAATGCCCTCGTTGCTGTCAGGACACCCTGCCTACCGGGGTGGCTCCTAGGACGCGGCCGGGTGCTTGGCGTGGCACCGAATCCAGTAGCGTAGTCAGGAATTTTTTTTTTATGGGAGCAATCTTTAATAGCAATAATATATATATAAATTTGAATCAAAATAATATATGTAAAAATTAAAACATTAATTCATAATATTTCTATTTAGTACATTTAAAATTGTCCTCTTAATAACAAATATGTCATACTATCAATGTACTCATAATAAAATTTCATTCATATTAAAAATAAAAAATAAATTAAATTAAAAAGTAAGACTAACCTTATAAGTTATAACCAGATAATTCAATCAATCGAAAATTTTGATAGAGTAAGTGAATTTGTGATTTTATTGATTTAGGCAGCAAATAAAAAATAAAAATAAAAAAATTCTAAATCTTATTTAGAGAATAGTAATTAGTAAAACAATTACACAAACTAAATTTTGAAAGAACAATCGGCCCTAAAATAATTTTGATAGTAAGAACTAATAATTTTTCTAATTAAAATTATAATATCAAATAATAATCATAAATTTAGATGATAAAAAAAAATATCACATCACCCGCACGGTAGTAAGATTGACTAAGTCTCTGTCTACTATAAATAGTTTTTTTTTGTGAAATATTGAAGATTCACGGAAAGAAAATTGTGATGGAAACAATCGATTTGTTTGTGGTAAAGTCAAAACTGTGAAAGAATATCTTCATGAAATATTTTTTTTTTTTTTGGAAAGTGGGAAAGAATATAATATTTTAGGAAAGTGGAAAAAAATATCATATTTTGTGAAAGAATATCTTGATGAAATGTTTTTTTTTTTTTTTTTAAATTAATATTTTGTAAAACCGTGAATGGGCTTTTGATTATATATATATATATAGAGAGAGAGAGAGAGAGAGAGAGACACACACACACACACACACATATATGTGAAGTGTCAAATTTTAGAAGGGACAATTATACAAATATAAAAATCTTTTCATATGAAATAAAAAAAAAAATTAAAGTTTAGTGGGGACAGTTGCCTCTGCTTGTCCCTACGTGGCTAGTGGGAATGCGCTTGTCTATTTATTCAAAATCTCAAGATATTAAATAGTATTATATACTCACTTATTTATATATAATTATTCTTTTATTCGAATTCGATGCGAAATAAATTTGTAGAATAAATATCTATATATAACACTGAACATGCTTCGTGTGAACGCAGCTGTACGCAAGTGTGAACATGTGCCAGACCCATGACTCCCGTGACATTGAATATAATTTGCTCTTGCTTGAATCATCATACAGCTCATTTCAAAGTAACACTCTTTGCAAGTCAATGCTTTACATGGGGTTTTATAAAATTTGACTACTAATAGTAGTATTACAATAGCAGGTTGATTCACACGATTGCTAAGACCGCCGGAATCGGCGCTCAAAAAATATGACAACAAATAATGGAGTTTTGGATCTGATGTTGACATCCTATGAAAAGTCTTCACACACACAATTTCATTTCATCCATTCATTTTTATACTTATCTTTGTTTCATTTGATTGCATCTTTATTTTTATTTTTTATAAAAATATAATTTTGTTGAACACCAAAAAAATAAAAAATAAAAATGACTGAATTCAACATAAATTCATTTTGTCCTAAGTTCATGTACATTGAATGTAAATAAACTGCAACTTTTGGATCCACTTCAAAACATGATTGATTTTTTTGTATAATTGAACCAAAATAATTAAAGATTTTTGGATTAATTTTATTGACACCTTCTCAGGTTTAGCCAAATATCACTCTATAACATCTTTTAAAAATAACTATCACTCATGTTACAAACTTTTGTTCCGTGTTAGTTGAATAATTTTGACACAATATAAAATGACTTAATCACCCTTTGAATTTGTCAAACCAACCCTTTAGCTTAAAGAATTAGATTAAAAGACTAAATTACCCCTAAAAAATTGTAAATTTACAAATTATATATATATATACACACACATACACAGAGACATATATATACACACAGACATATACATGGACCTAACTGAAAGATTAGGCTCCAAAGCTTAAAGCCATAAAACGGAAAATACAAATTCGAACATGCTCTCTATAAAGGGTGTTCGCTCAAGGATATAATAACATACCCACATTACACACAGAGACATATATATATATATATATATATATATAGATACACACACACATAATAAAATAGATCTGAAAATAGACGCAACCTCAAGTCAATGTCTCTCTCTCACCATGATCAGCATTCAATTCCCACCCAGCAATAAGTTGTCATCCCTTAAGAATCAGATCTTAGGAGTTCCAGACTAAACATAATAATGGCAGGGGGTAAAGGCAAAAAAAAATTCCGTTGTCGGGAATCTAATCCGGGTCCCTTGGGTGAAAGCCAGATATCCTAACCTCCTCAAATTGGGTCTCTGCAATCCAAAAGATCCGGCGAGATGGAAAATGGTGGTTGTCATTTCTAATGGTGGGTGTGTGGGTAAGTTTAATGATAAGGGTATATTGGTCATTTATGTAATTTAATATTTAGGAATATATGAGATTAAAAAATTAAGGGTAAAATTGTCTTTTATATTTTTTTAACGGAAAATATAACGAAAAAGTGAGAATGGAGTTAAGTGATAATTATTTTTGAAAAATGTTTGACAATGATATTTGGCCAAATCTGAGGGAGTGTGAGTGAAATTAATCCAAAATTTTATGTGTTAGCTAAACCATCATTAGAATAACAACTAATAGACACATAATTTCATTAATCTAGACACATAATTTCATTAATTCACATGAATGATATTAGGTATTCTATTTGAATAAATATCCTCCAAGTCTAATGCAGCAATATTGGGTGAGTCGGATATATTAACATTATAGATATACTCATCCAATTAGTTGGAAAAAAAATAAATAAAAAAAATAGATGGTCTCGGCCAATCATCATTCGACACATAAGCTAAAAGTGAAAAAAAAAAAAAAAAAAAAAAAAAAAAAAACCTTATACAGTGTCGACACAATTATTTATGTGTCCAATAATAATTGGCCGGACCATATAATAACTTCTCAATTAATTGTGAATTTTTTTTATTTGAGTGGGATCTATTTCACTAAAGCTTGTTTTTTAATTGAGTGAGTAGGCCAACAACATGGCATGCCTAAATTACTCAATATCTATTCATCCATTATTTATGAATAATTGACCTCACACATGCTAGGGTGATTTCCAAGCTTTTTGCACTCAATACTCTAATTGAATATTATTTATTGTCAATCTTTTTTGCACTCAACACTCTAATTGTCCATTAGAGAGGATTTTATTTCAATTTATTACATTATTTTTCATATGAGTTTTATTTATTGAACCTTAAAAATATAGAAAGATATTTAAAATCTTCAAAATATTATATTGTCCCAAGTCCAAATACATTGAATGTAAAATACTCCCAACTTTTTTGGATCTATTTGTGGACGTGATAGTTGGTATAAAGGAGGTTTCCCACTACTTACTAAACTTGCTAAATCATAATTAATTTTTGTAATGCTTTAAATTGAATTTGAACAATCCCAATAAATACATAACTTTATTACGTGTTAAAATTCCAATTAAGACCATTAAAACTAGATTCAAAAAGATTCTACAGTATATTCAAGTGATCCCGCGTATAGTATGTCTAGATGCGCCGGTAATTACTGATTCTGACTCAATACCATGCAAGCAAATTTAGTAAAACACAGCTTGATACAACTGTCAACAGTTGTCCACTTCCGTATTGACCGCCACGTGTCAACCCACTTGCTTCTAAGTCCAAGTCTCACTAGTGAATCTACCGCTAATCACCGGTCAAATACAAACAAACAACTCCCTTTGCATTCTCTTCTTTTCTATTTTACTCACTCAGTAACTAAATTTATTGCACAATTATTTCAAAGCATATATATATATATATATATATAATATTTTTGAATGGCTGATTGGCTGTAAAAGTATATTATATTTACATTATATTAGTTTTTTTAAAAAAAAATTTTACAATTGCTCAGCTATATTAACTAAAACAAGTGAAAATATTATTCTTTATTATTTCTATCGTGTTATATATATATATATTTCAAATTCATTTTTCAATATTGCAGTTTATATTGAAGTACAAATAAAATTCTATTTTAATTGCAATTTCAATTCTAAATCCAAAACGAATCTGGTTCCAAACAATGGCGTTAGAGTGTGCAAACACCATGACTATATAAGCCGTTGTATAGGCGAGACATTTCCCGCGCCAACCAAAGAAGAGAGCACCCTATAATTTCTCTCTCTAAAATCTTCCGTCGCGAGTCGTCGGTTGCTCCGCCGGCCAGCTAGTGATCAAGCTGGTCTGAAATCTCGAGTTTTCGTATCTGCGCCAGGTGCTCTTTCTCTCTCTAAAACACATACAGTCATACAGAACTCTTTTTTTTTTTTTCTTTTTTTTTTTCTTCTCTCTCTCTATCTCTATCAATACTACATATGTCTACATGTCTCTGTCTGTAGAAGATGCTACGTATTATTTTGCCTAACGAATTTGACTTATTATGCTCAAAAGTCAAAATATTGGAAATTCATTGTATGGATCTGAAAATTTCTTTGTATATTATCTGAAACAGAAAACAATTTTTTTAATCGCTTGTTGCTATCTGTTAGTATGAGGTTGCGTAATATCGAATCTGTAATTAATTAATTAAATATTATTATTGCCGTATTGTTTTGTTTGTTGCTTCTCACAATGTCTTGGATTTATATAACAGTCTTTTTACGCTGTTGTAGTTTGGTATCTGTTGCCGAACAGAGAATCAAGGTTTCTATTGTTTTATAGAAGAGTTCGCCGGCTCTCTCTGTTCTCAGAGAGCAGAGCTAGATTCGAATTTCATTCTATCTTAATGCTCTTTTGATTCAAGTTTTAGGTATTTATTTGAAGTTGAATCTTTTTGAGCATTTGATTCGAATTTAATTTTCAGTTATAGAGGTGTTGTACATTCTGTATAAGTTTGAATTTATGTTAATCTTAAAATCTTTTATATCGTAAGAAAACTTTATTCACTTTGTTTCGTTCTTGTGAAAGAGGAGGAAAAAGCAAGAAAGTAGAAACTCATAGGTTGATTCACAGATTTAGTTTTTTTTTTTTTTTCTCTGTCCGTTGTCAACATTTTCTCGTCAATCAAACAAATTTAAACCTTCTTTTGTTTGATCAGAAAAGCAAGGTGAAGGAAATTTGAACAAAAACTTGACAAAAACAAAAAGTACAACTGAACCAAAAAATCTTGATATTATGTTTTAGAATTCCAAAGTTTTGATTTTATGTTTCCTGGGCATTCAAAGTCTCTGATTGAATTTCACTCACCTTGAAAATAGATCAATGGGTGCTGGAAGTGAGGATGTGGGAATTAGGAAGAGGGGTTGCTCATGCACGAAGGACGATTTTCTCCCTGAGGAATCCTTCAAGAGCTTTGGCAACTATGGGAGGTCTCTGATGCAGACACCGAACCGGCTGCTGGACCGGATAGTGACCCGGTCACTTGATCAAGCCGAGTTGGACATGAAGGCTCGGAGTCAGAATGAGATGAAGAAGACCCTGACTTGGTGGGACCTCATTTGGTTCGGCATGGGTGCTGTGATCGGCGCCGGTATCTTCGTCCTTACCGGTCTTGAGGCCAGGGACACAGTCGGCCCAGCGGTCGTGCTTTCTTTTGTCGTCTCCGGTGTCTCCGCCATGCTTTCTGTCTTCTGTTACACTGAGTTCGCCGTGGAGATTCCCGTTGCTGGTATGAACGCTCTTTTACTCTTTTTCTATATTATTTCAAATTCTTATTATTTTCATATATATTTAATTAAAATAATAGAGGTAAGTTTTGTGATATATAATGTGAGTGACAACTGCCAAAAATAATGGGTGTTTTGGTTATTTTTGTGTAAGAATAAGAATGAAATTTATTTAGTTGACACTTTCTTATTAAAACTTTTTTTCTGAAAATTGAACTATTATGTGTATATATATATATATATATTTTTTTTTTTTTGTAGATATGATGTGTAATAATAGTTTAATACAAAAAAATTAGATCATTTATTTTTAGCTTTTGTAGTTGTTTTAGCTTTTGTAGTTGTTTTATATCTTTTGTGTAAAAATATATTCCCAATAAATATTAGTGTTATATAGCTAGGAGAAAATAAATATTAGTGTTATGTAGATAGGAGAAAATAAATATGTTGATGTGATTGTGTAAAAAGGTTGTTTAAAATACACATGTTGATGTAGTTGTGTAAAATACAATAATTTTACACATTGATATGATTGTGATGGAATAAAATATATAACAATTTTATACATTGATGACGTGGTAATGTATGACAATATATATTTTACCAAAAAAATATATATATATTTTAACAAACCGTTGTGTACTTTTTGTAAATATTGAATTCTTTTCTTTCCTAAAAAAGAAAAGAATCTAATAGAAGATTTTATTCCAACACATTATTATAATTTTTTGATAAATTATATTAATTATAATTTAACTTTTATGACAGACTTGCATAGATTTCTGAAGGAGCATAATAGAGTAAATGTTAAAAGTAGTGTCAAAGATACCTTGATGCATACTTTGTACCTTTAAATGTTTCATCTTTTGAACATCCAAACAAGCTAGCCCTAAGAGGACTTCCCTAAATTCTAATTTAACCAGCGTCACAATTTTGTTGGTGGACGGTAGTGGCCTTGTATTTTCCACAACTGGCATAGAACACCACGTGTCTGAAAAGTCAAAAATTTGATTAGTTTTCTACGAACGGTTGGTGGAGGTGTTGAGAACGACTCTGTTACCAAATAAACAGTAAATGAGTGGGTGTTGAGCAATGAATGCGTCACAAGGTGTACGAAGTCCCTTATCTCATTTCTATGTTTCATTAGCCCCATGTTCTACCGGTATATTATTCTTCATGGGCTATTATTATAAGTAACAGCCTAACAGGCAACCAACCCTTGGTAGCTAGGCCTAACCATGAACAGATCATATGGTCTATTGTGAGAGAGGATTGCATAGCACAGTACTGTGCACAGGAGAAGGTTGAAGATCATCTCGTATGGGGTGTGATCTCTACGGACTGCATGGATACACCCCATGTGAGATGATCTCCACCTCTTCTGTGGACAGTGTGTTGTGTACATGAGAGGATCCGAGTAACTTCTATAGTTCCACTTCTTTCTTGCGTAACTTCACATCTTTCTTGAATCGAAGATACGTCTTGCTTATCAAAATCACATACCTAATTGAAGGATACTGAATTTTAGTTTCAATCTTTTTCAGGCGGCTCATTTGCCTACTTAAGGGTGGAGCTTGGTGAATTCGTGGCTTTCATTGCAGCCGGGAACATCCTGCTCGAATATGTGATTGGTGGTGCAGCTGTAGCCCGTTCTTGGACATCCTACTTTTCCACCCTTTGCAACCACGGTTCAGATGATTTCCGTATTCTAGCCCACGGACTTACTGAGGGCTACAACCTCCTTGATCCCATAGCTGTTGGTGTCATCGCCATCATCTGTGTCATCGCGGTGCTCAGCACAAAGGGCTCCTCCCGTCTCAATTACATTGCCTCCATTGTCCACATTATCGTCATTGTCTTCATCATAGTGGCCGGACTAAGCAAGGCAGACACCAAGAACTACGCTGACTTCACGCCCTACGGTGCACGTGGCGTCTTCAAAGCTTCAGCCGTGTTATTCTTCGCCTATGTTGGGTTTGATGCGGTTTCCACAATGGCTGAGGAGACGAAGAACCCTGCTCGAGACATCCCCATCGGACTAGTAGGATCAATGGCGATCACCACAACTCTGTACTGTTTGCTAGCTGTTACTCTATGCCTCATGCAACCATTCAACCAAATTGATGAGAACGCTCCATTCTCAGTTGCATTCGAAGCTGTAGGGTGGAAATGGGCTAAGTATGTTGTTGCTGCCGGCGCACTGAAAGGCATGACATCGGTGTTGCTGGTTGGTGCTGTGGGTCAGGCTCGGTATCTGACCCACATCGCCCGTACCCACATGTTGCCCCCATGGTTCGCCAATGTTGATGCCAAGACCGGAACACCTGTCAATGCCACCGTTGTCATGCTTGCCGCCACCGCAGTCATTGCCTTCTTCACAAAGCTTGACATTCTCTCCAACCTCCTATCAATCTCCACACTATTCATCTTCATGGTTGTTGCCGTCGCCCTTCTTGTCCGTAGGTACTACGTTACCGGAGTGACCACAGAAGCTAACCGTAACAAACTCATTGTGTGTCTCCTACTCATAGTTGGGTCTTCAATTGCCACTGCAGCTTATTGGGGTTTGAGCAAGCATGGTTGGATTGGATATTGCGTAACAATACCAATTTGGGGGTTGGCAACGGTGGGACTGAGAGTTTTTGTGCCACAGGCTCGTGCACCGAAAATGTGGGGTGTCCCATTGGTCCCATGGTTGCCATCTGCGTCCATTGCCATTAACATATTCCTTCTTGGGTCTATAGACAGGGATTCTTTCATCAGGTTTGGCGCATGGACCGCCTTTCTCTTGTTTTATTATATATTCATCGGATTGCACGCGTCGTATGACACAGCCAAGGAATATGAAAATGAGTGGAAGAAGGTTGAAGAGGGAGTTGAGAAATCGGAGACAAAATCTGGCTTCACTAATGCTACAGATGGTAAAATTGCTTCTGCAGGTCATCCTAGTAGCTAGCTGCATTTGTTTCACCGAATATGTGTTTTTTTTTTTTTTTTTTTTTTTTTTTTGTGTGCCCCCTTTGTATGTGTAAGTATTTCTGCTATATGAAGAAGAAGCCATGTTCTAGTCAACAGAAACTGTTTGTTAATATGATTAAAGAAGAAATGAAACTAGAGGCTTTCTAATGGGTTTAATTTGTTTATTATTTATTATATTGCTTAAAGAAGTTCTAAATTGAAGTAATTAGCTTGAGCTAGGCGTGCCTTGGTGAGTTGGTTCTATTCAAGAGCTCAATACCTCGGAACATCATTGAAATTGGCTCCTTTATCTGTAAAGATAAATTAGTTGTGTGTGTGTGTGTTTTTTTTCGGGAAAGTTTACCTATATTCCCATTAAAATATAATTTCAAGGCCCACTATATTTGTTGTGCATGGGGCGGGCTTGCCCCAATTTAACCAATGCGAAACAAAACCGGGGTACTGTCTGGAATAAAGTTATGCCCACTTGTTTTCTTACTTGAGCCTTCAGTTATAATTTTATTTTCAGTTTATTATTTGATTTTGCCTTCATATTTTTCTTCTTTTTTTTTTTTTTTTTTTTTTTTTTTTTTTGAGAAAACTACATATAGGTAGGATTGAGAGCTCTAAATAACAAATTGATCAATTTTAAAAGTTAGTTTTTCACATTGATTGAATTAAATAAAATAATTACAAATACATCAAAAATTATTGCTAAGTCCTAAAATGGCCTCATACTCTTGTTACAAAATACTAAAAAATCCCTCTTAAAATTATTTAATTCCAAATATTAAAATAAATAATTAAGAATTAATTTAATTAGCAAATAAAAATTCTCCATCTCTTCTCTTCGTCGTCCATGGCATTGGATTGCCCTTTGGAATTTGATGTCATTTGATCAGAAAGGTAAGAATTGAAAAGGAAAGCTCCACAAGCTTTACTATGGCAGTGATGGTATATCGCATAAAAGATTTTTCAATTGTTACCTAAATGAAGCTATTATTATTGTTAATATATTAGAAAATGTAAAAACTATAATGAGATTTTTCAATTGTTACCTAAATGAAGCTATTATTATTGTTAATATATTAGAAAATGTAAAAACTATAATGAGATTTATCAAGGTTCTCATATCCTGTTGGACAGTACGGTAATGAAGTAATTTTTTTTTTTTCTTGGGAGGGTAATATGAAGTATTGGAATATTCATTTGCCTTTTTTCTTTTTTTTTGTTGTCTAGAGGTCTCTAATTGTTGTTTGTTTTCTTCTTCAATTAATTATCAAAAATCACAACAAATTTTGAGATGCCAAATTAATAATCCTCTACAAGAACCCTAATTTCATAAGCTATAACATACTTATGAAGCCTACAGAGTTATAGATCTAAAACTTGTGAACAAACATAATTACATATTTATATTTATATATGTGTGTGAAGAGAGAGAGGGGGACCTAGAAAACCTGCGAGGTGGGTAGTGCCCTACAAAGTCATAGATCTGAAACTTGTGAACAAAAATGATTACATATTTATATTTATACAAGTGTGTGAACAGAGAGAGAGGGGGGGACCTAGAAAACCTGCGAGGTGGGTGGTGGGTGGTGCCCTGTAGGTTGGTGGCAGATTGACAACAAATATAAGTGATAAAGAATTATTATTCGCTGTCAAACTAATTTTTAATTATCTATTTTATTATACTAAAATTATATAATTTTAAAGAAGATATTTTGGTATTTTGAAATAAGAGTGTAATGATATTTTGGACCAGAGCAATAAATATTGATGTATTTGTAATTGTTTTGCTTAATCCAACAAAAATAGAAAATTAACTTTAAAAACTGATCGATTTGTTATTTAGGGTTCCTAACTTTACATATGTGTAGTTTTCCCTTCTTTTTTTTTTTTTTTTTTTTTTTCTCTATTCAACCAAACAGGAAAAGAAAAAAAACTTATTATTTTATGTCATTCAATTACTTTTTGTAATTAATTTTTATTTTTATTGATTAAATGTCTCTCTCTCTCTCACACACACACACACAAACCATTGTATAAAATAAAAATATAATAATGGTATATATAATATTAGTAAATATATAAGATTTGAACTTATATGTAATTACATTCATAACTATAAATTTTATTTTATTTATTTTTTGATACTTTTATTTATTAAAAAATATGGCGGTGCATGTAACAGAAAATATAAATTTAATTATTATTATTCAAGAAAAAAAGAAAATACAAAATATTTACAATTAGCTGAATTGCAATAAATTCACTCAATACTTTAAAGGTGGGAGTATTTTACTAAAAGTAACCCCTAAGTTAATTGAGGAGATTTTGTAACAAAATTTTAGGAGAGATCGATTCGGCGTTACAAGCCAGTGGGATTAAATGCAATTGTCTGACTATTGGTGATGAAAGATGTATATCATAATACCATCTTCACTTTCACTTTCACTTTTACTTACACTAGCATTTTTAAGAGGACCAAGACTATCCGTCGATTTACTCAGCCTAACCTGTGTTCTAACTCCTCCTTAAACAACATCGAATTGAACCACCACTTTCCCATAGAGTGGAGGTTGCAAGCGGAGGAAGACTCTATATGACTCCTTGCCATGGGTGGGAAAGCGGGTTATAACGTTTTCCACATTTATGAGAAGTTGTAGTAGGGAGTAATATTTAGAGGAGAGAATATTCCATAAAAGTAGAGAGTTCTGTAGTTATAAATTATCTAAATGCGTAAGTATTCTACACAGTGTTCTGCATGATAAATCTTAATCATTGATTGTAGTGCATCTTAACCCTCCATTAATGAAAAAATGCCTAATTAATAACCAAAAGTCAAGTTAATGGTGAGAGTGAGTCACAAAGATTGCAATAGATATGGTAGGCAACGAATGTGGCGGCTTCTAAAGCTTAGATGTAAAATATTAGGGTTTGAAAATGGAGAAGGTGGCAAACAGTGGAGGAGGTGACAAGCAGTGGAGGAAGAGAGGATTAATGGGTTTGAGAATTGGGGAGATGGTGGGCATCAATGAGGATTTGGTGAGAAGAGGAAGGAATTGTGCGTTAAAGAGAGGGAAAGCCCGCCACCAGGTCTCAGGCGCCTAAGAGAGAACCCTTTTCCTTTTTGAATGACCTGTAAAAAGATCCAAAAGATTCAGGTTTAATTTTTTTTTTTTTTTTGACACATGTCATGTTGTTATTGGTCCAGATCATCATAAAAAGGAGAACCATGCTTAAAGAAAAAAAAAAAAAAAAAAAAGAGCCTAATTTATCTTTTATATATATATATATATCTTTTTTTCACTTCTGTAAAAGAATTTCTGTTAAAATATATATCTTTTTTTCACTTCTGTAAAAGAATTTCTGTTCAAACTTTGTCTGCCTCTCTTTGGGTATATTAATAAGGGTATCCAATCGCCACATTCATATTCATATTCATATTCTTATATATCTATATATAGATAGATAGATATATATATACACACACTGGTAAAAGAATGGTCAAAATTTAAAAGTTAATTTATAATAAAAAAAATTCTTTTCTAAATAACTAATTAGCAGCTTGTTTTAAATAGTTGATATTTAATATTTATAAAGTCATTATAAATAAATATAGTTATAAGAGTTCAGTTTTATTATTTCTTTTATTAAAAAATTTTATAAATAATTAATAATAAAATAATTGTGATCCAAAACTAAAATAAACAATAATCAATAGAAATAATGTAGCTTCTATGTGTAAAAAATTAGTTGTGATCCAAAACTAAACAAAACAATAATCAAACATAAATAATATAGCTTCCATATGTAAAAAATTAGTTATGATCCAAAACTAAACTAAACAATAATCAAGCATAAATAAAATAGTTTTTATTACTTGTAGACCGGAAACCAAATTTATCAAGTTGCTAATCAATTACAGAAACTAGATTGAAAAGATATAGAGAAATTAATTTATTTTTTTTTAATAAACTTTCAATTTACTGAAATTTTTTAATTTGTTGTCAATTTTCTAATCAATTATTGAAAAAAAAATCTCATAGTAGAGAAAAAGTTGCTAATCAATTATTAAAAAAATTCAAAACAGAGAAAATGAATTGAAAAAAATTCATAACACTGATTTTTTTAAAAAAAAATAAATAAATCACAACTTTGTATGAATAAACCTAATTAAAAATCCAAACTTTGCACTTACAATTTTTTATCCTTCTCTCTCATGATTCTTCTTTCTCTTGATTCTTCTTCAGTTGCAAACCTTAGAAGCAAAATAATAGCAACTCTAGAAGCAAAACAGAGAAAATGAATTGAAAATAAGAGAAATCAAAAATTAAAAAATTCATGTTACCTAAAAATATAAAATAATTTCATGATATTTTGAAAAAATAAAAAATGAATTACAATGCAAACTAAATTTACAAGATCAACCATTGTTGTCACCAATCAAACATAAAATAGAGAATAAAAAATAAAATAATTTCGTAGTGTGTCTGAGAAAATAAAAATAAAAACTAAAGAAAAAAGCAATAATCCTAATGAACTTACAAGATAAAGCACAATTGCTGCCTTCAGAGAGAAAAATCTGAACACCAATTACAAAGAGATAAAGAGAAAACGAGCCGATGTAGTAGAGGTAAAATATAAAATATAAAATAAAAAAATAAATCTGCAAACTAAATTTACACCCATTACAAAGAGAAAACTAGCAGATGTAGTAGAGGTAAAACATAGAATAAAAAATAAATTATAAAAAAATAAATTATAATGCAAATTAAATTTACAAGATCCACCATTGTTGTCACCAACCAAACATAAAACATACGATAAAAAATAAAATATTTTCATGATGCTTTTGAAAAAATAAAACCCAAAGAAAAAAAGGGAGTTGACGTAAAAGTAAAACATATAATAAAAAACCAATTTCTTCTTTTCAATTGTATTTCCTTATTCAATAGGAATTCTAAAAATAGGGTTTATAATACGGAGTATTATTTATTTCATACATATATAGAAACATAACTTTTCCAAACATGTATTATTTTTTAATTATATTTCTTCATACTAAAATTAAAATTAAAATTAAAATAAGTAGAAAATTTTTTACCAAACTTATTTTATTTTCTAATCTATAATACATGAATTATCATTTCTACATATAATTAAAATTATTAAGTTTTAATCTATATTAATTTTTTGAAACACATTTCTACATATAATGTTATATTTAATTGGTAACTTGTTTTAGTCTTGAAGAATTCCGAGTATAATAGTAGTATTTATTTTAATTGGTAACTATTTTAATATTTGGCATATTATATTATTTAAAAGTTTTTAAAATTTTTAATCTATATTTAATTTTTGAAACGGATTTCTACATATAATGTTATATTTAATGGGTAATTTGTTTTAGCCTGAAGAATTCTGAGTATAATAGGATTTATTTTAATTGGTAACTTATTTTATTATTTGGTATATTATTTTATTTATAAATTTTTATTTATTAATATAATGATTTAGTTACACTATGGTAAAGATTAATTTTTAATTAAACAATTACCTATTTTATTTTAATTGTTAACTTGTTTTATTATTTGATAAATTATTTTATTAAATAATTATCTGTTATATTTTAATTGGTAACTTGTTTTAGTTGTTTTAGCCTGAAGAATTTCGAGTATAATTGGTAACTTTAATTACCTATTTTAATTTAATTGGTAACTTGTTTTAGTTGTTTTAGCCTTAGAAGAATTCTGAGTATAATTGGTAATCTAAATATAAGGTTATATTTAATTCGTAAGGATTTATTTTAATTGGTAACTTATTTTATTATTTGGTATATATTTTATTTTTTAAAAAAAATTGTTTGATAATATAATGGTTTAGTTTACACTAAGGTAAAGATTAATTTTCAATTAAACAATTACATATTTTATTTTTATTGATAACTTGTTTTAGTTATTTTAGCCTTAGAAGAATTCTGAATATAATTGGCAACTTTTAATTGATAACTTATTTTATTATTTATTTATTTTTAATGATTATTTGAAATTCTTAACACCCCTTGTACTTTTACTTTTTCTTTTTAATAATATATATAATATAATTGTAAATTTGCAAAACATATAGGGATAGTTTAGTCTTTTAATATAATTTTGTAGGTTAAAATTTTTTTTGACAAAGTCAAAGGGTATTTAAGTTATTTTACATGATGTTAAAGCTTGGCAGGTGACAGTTGGGAGTGCGAGTGAAAGACAGAACAAACATTTGCTAGTAATTTTCAAAAATTATTTTAATGTGATATTTGATTAAACATGAGGGGTATCAGTGAAATTAATCCAAAAAGAAAAAGAAAATGTGAAACATTGTTTGTTTTAAAACAAAATGAGCAAATGTATTAGACTAAATGGTTTCAAATTCAATGCTTCAGGCCCCTCCTAAATAATTAAAGTAATACAATTAATTAAAATTGTAAACTTATGTATAGAATGGCCTAAGATGGGTATTGGGTGATACAATTAATTACGAGGGTATTTGGGAAATTAAAGAAATCTATTAGTTTTTTCGTTTGACTATTTCAGTGCTACACGACCAATAAGATAAGCTCAAGGAATCCAAGTAATCTAAAACTCTGAAAACAATCTCATGTCTTTTAGAGGTACTATAACCATATGCAACCTAATATTAGGGTTTTTTTAACAAAAAAATTATTTATAAATGATGAGATCTGAATGGTGGCCCTTCCTTTCCAATGCCCAAAAAAAACAATTGATTTTTTAGGTATTAACTTAATAAAATTACCATATATATTTTAGGGATTAATTAAGACAATTATTTTTTTTCCAAAATTTATTAGGATTTAATCACCACTTTATGTGTTCATCCATGCAAACAGGTGGCATTGAGGTACTTACCGAAAAAAGAGAAGAAGAAGTGGCAGTGAGGTAGTATAGTAAATCCATACGACATGGTAATAGAAAACTCGGTCCCAATTATTAATTGTGAATTCATTCTTTTCTTTCTTTATCATATCACAGGATCCAGAAAGTTGCTTTTCATCTGTCCCTCACATGCTCCTTTTTTTTCCATAAAGGTATCCTTTTTTTTTCTCTCTTTCTGTAATATTTTTTGAGGCATTATCTCTCTCTTACCTCCTTTTAGTTCTATAAATTTTTTTTTTCTTTGCTTTCTCTGCTCCAAAGTTTTTGTTAGGTGCATATATAGAGATCTACTTTGGTTTACATAATTTGAGATTTGAGACACTTTTTTTTTATTAGTCTATAAAAATTAAGGGTACCCGATAATCAGACTTTGTGAATGGGAATGATTTGTTTCTCTCTTTGATCACTTTTAAGACTGGTTGTGATTGAATTTTTTTTATTTTTTATTTTTTACGAAGCTTACAGCACTGAGTAGGTTATAGCTTTTAGTGACGGGTTCTGATTGATGAAATTGCCAAAAATGTGAATAAAAAAATAAATAATAATAAATAGTGAGAAGTGCATGCACAATTTTTTACTCCCCTGAACTGTAAAAAGGATATAATTTTTTTTTTTTGGGAAGGTAAAAAGGATATAATTTTGTCACACCTTGAGCTCTATATTATATACATCCTGGCTGGTTCATTAAGTATAGAACAGTGTATATATATATATATATATATATATCATTACACTTTCTATGATATTTTTCATTTCAAATTTTGGGGAATGTTATGTAAAATGTGTGTCACCATTTTTATATGCTAGTCCTTGAAATAATCAGCTTCAAAAAGGAAAAAAAATAAAAAAAAATGATCCCATAAATACCTATGGTAAAAGTATTTCATGAAACTGAAATTTTAGTTATCTGATATATAACGATGGCCTCATATTCTACGATCTAACAACTGAGATTGATATATCATAGTGAAAATTATGGCACCTAAGCAATCTTAACTTACTGTCCATTGTTATAAACTCATAATGACCTTGCTGGTTAAGGTCACTAAGGCCAAATTGTGGTCCAATGATCTATGCATCCTTTAATCTGTTTATCTGCTAATAAAATTGATTTTCTGTTCAAATACTAGGATTCACTCTTTGTAGAAGATGAATTAGAGCTATAAAATGAACTATGAGCTGGTCTGAACAAGTAGGATCAAGCTTTGCTACAAAGCTAAAAAGTGCAACAAAAGCGCGCCAAGCTCAAACTCGAACAACAGTGGAACTACCAAATGAGTAATACCCTTACCAAATGAGTAATACCCCAGCTTGTACGAGCCCTCCTCCCCAAAGAGAGGTTGGGTGTTAGAGCCTTAATGGAGATATGAGTGTATATGTTTGTTTAAAAAAAAAAAAAAAAACAAACAAACAGTGGAACTAGTTTTATTTTAATTAACTTGATATGATACATTTTCATGAGCTTTATTTTAATTTTTAGTACTGCTTTGCTAGTACCTCTGCAACAACTAATGCCATAAACAACATCCTTGAATTTCATGTTATTTTCCACTTTTGCCAGGACAACAATGGTAAATGATAGTGACAGTAATGGCATTAAGAAGAGGGGGTGTGGATGTAGCAAAGATGATTTCTTGCCAGAGGAGTCATTCCAGAGCTGGGGGAATTATGCCAAGGCATTGCGCGAAACAAAAACCAGGTTCAAAGACCGGCTCTTGACAAGATCCCAAGACCACCTAGAGCTGCAAGAAATGCGTGCTCGTAGCGAGCATGAGATGAAGAAGACCTTGACTTGGTGGGACCTCATCTGGTTCGGCATTGGGGCTGTGATGGGGGCTGGAGTGTTTGTCCTCACCGGACAGGCTGCTAAGAATCTCGCTGGTCCTGCTGTCCTGATTTCGTTCCTGATATCAGGCATGTCCGCGTTGCTCTCAGTGTTGTGTTACACTGAATTTTCAGTTGAACTCCCTGTGGCCGGAGGGTCATTTGCATACTTAAGAGTGGAGCTTGGTGACTTTGTTGCTTTTATTGCTGCTGGGAACATCCTATTTGAGTACATTGTGGCGGGGGCTAGTGTGGCACGTTCATGGACTTCCTACTTCGCAACATTGTGCAACCACAAACCTGATGATTTTCGTATAAATGTCTCAAGTCTTTCTGAGCAGTACAGCCATTTAGATCCAATTGCAGTTGCTATCTCAATAGCCATTTCCATACTGGCGACTCTAAGCATGAAGGGCTCTGCGCGTTTCAATTCATTCGCTACCATAGTCCATGTTGTGGTCATGGTGTTCATCATTGTCACCGGTCTGACCAAGGCTGACCCTGCAAATTTTACACCCTTTGCCCCATTTGGCATCCGGGGTGTTTTGAAAGCTTCGGCTATGCTCTTCTTTGCATATGTGGGGTTTGATGGAGTGGCTACCTTAGGAGAGGAGATCAAAAACCCCGGTAAAGACATTCCTATTGGACTCATTGGCTCCATGTCGGTTGTTATAGTAACTTATTGCCTTATATCAGCAACATTGTGCCTCATGCAGCCATACGCTGATATTGACGGTGATGCACCATTCACACTTGCATTCCAAGCAGCAGGAATGAATTGGGCCAAGTATATTGTCGCGTTTGGCGCGTTGAAGGGCATGACCACGGTTTTGCTAGCCAACATCATCGGCCAATCTAGATACTTCACTCACATTGCGCGAACACACTTGGCTCCACCAATTCTATCGATCATTCATGGGAAGACTGGGACACCGGTAAATGCCACAGTCATCATGACCATTGCCAACTCCATAGTTGCATTCTTCACAAGCCTTGACATCTTGGCAAACCTTCTCTCCATTTCAACCCTGTTCATCTTCTCACTCGTGGCCATTGCGCTGATTGTGAGACGGTATTATGTCACCGGTGAGACGGAAGATTCTGACAGAAACAAGCTCATTGCATTCCTGCTCTTGATCATATTGTCCTCAATCTGCACATCTGTTTACTGGGCAGTGAGTGAGAATGGGTGGTTCGGATACATAATCACGGTGGCAGTTTGGTTTTTGGCCACACTAGGACTACAATTGATGGTAAAGCAAGCAAGAAAACCAAAATTGTGGGGTGTGCCATTGGTGCCTTGGTTGCCATCAGCTAGCATAGCAATCAATGTGTTCATCATGGGTTCAATTGATGGCCCGTCTTTTCTGAGATTTTTGCTGTGGACAGCGTTTTTGCTAGTTTACTATCTGCTTTTGGGATTACATGCTTCATATGATGCAGCCAAGGAAGCTGATCAGAGACGAGTTGATGCATCTCAGCCCACAGATAATGAAGCTAGAGACCAGAATGTAGCAGCACAAGAAGAGGTCTAAGAAGAATGAGGATTATTTACTGAATCAGGCTTTTGGGCATTTGGGAGCTATTTGTCTTTATTCAGCTTTTTGTACATAAAGATTTGTTTTCATTCACTTTTTTTTTCTTTTTTTCTTTTTTTGATACTACAGCATCTACATAGTATTTCACTATTTCCCAACCCCCCCACCCCCAACACACCATACGTGTTTATTAACTTGATTTGCTCCCAATGGATTTCTAATCAGAAACTACCGTGCAATTTTCTTTTTTCTTTTTACTTGTGTGGGAAAAACCAGTTCTATGGTCATTTTTAAAATCCCTATAAGAGAGAATTAGATGTACGAAAATCTTACTTACACATGTGAAGTGACTATTTTCGATCCCACTTACCCCCCAACACACCATATGTGTTTATTAACTTGATTTGCCCCTAGTGGATTTCTAATCAGAAAGTACCATTGATGTGCAATTTTCTTTTTCCTTTTTACTTGTGTGGGAAAAACAAGTTCTATGGTCATTTTTAAAGTCCCTGTAGGAGAGAATTAGATGTACGAAAGTCTTACTTGCACATGTGAAGTGACTATTTTCGATCCCGCTTCCCGCTACAAACTTCATGGTCACTTCTCGTCCTGAAGTAAGGAACTCAAATTGACTGCTCACCCATCATCTCATGAACTCTTTGTACAATCATAAAAAACAAAAACATATCTTAGATAGCTCAAATTTTAGGAGGTAGTCGCAGGGACAGTATCCATCATCACATGGCTCTCTTTTTTCTTTCCTTGTTTAATCCTGATTATACACCCATTGACCTTCACGCGTACTTAGGTCTTCACCGGTAAAGATTTACTGCATCGTGGATTCGTGATATAGACTAATAACAAATAGACACATCCTCTTTAATTGTCAAATCAGAGATAGTGGGGAACATACTTACCGCATTGTCCTTGTCAAAATTAGAAAAGCCATAAAATATAACAAAAGGAAGAGGAATAATCTTATTATTACCACTGGGATTCCTGAATTGTATTGAACATGAGAATAATTTGCCCTCTTCATCAATTAATAAAATAGATGAATAACAAGTGCTTGTAAAAACAAACTTCACAGTAACTAACAGGAATAAAGGCACCATTTTCTTGTCGTCAGACAAGAACAAGCTCTGAAGTAATGCAAAATCAGTAGACTTCAACATGCCACTGTTTGTTCTTTTTGAGTTGTGAGAGCTTCTCTTCCCAGCTCTCCCCTCGCTGCTCTGCAACCCTCTTCAACGTGTCTTGGATGCCGGGCATCATCCCCTTAAGCCCACAGAAATAGATGTGGGCTCCATTATCTAAGAGTTTGAAGATCTCATCACTGTATTCTTCAATTTTATCTTGAACGTACATCTTGCCCCCAATCTTGTTCTTATGTTCTCGGCTAAGGGCCCGATCATACCGGAAGTTATCGGGATAATCATGAAGATACTTGGAGAATTCGTCATCATAAAGGAGACTGTCAGTGTTGGCCACCCCGAGGAACAGCCAAGCTAGGCCACCAAACTTGAATGAAGGTACAGACTCCATGAACATACGACGTAGGTAGCCTCTGAAAGGAGCAATGCCAGTACCAGTACCAATCATAATGTGGGTGGCATTTGGGTCATCTTCAGGCAAAAGCATTATCTTGCCAGAAGGACCTGCCAAAAATATTTTAGCTCAATTAACAGCTAAGGAAGCAGGTCTTATATTTTGACCACAGATTACCCATCCACCAATGATTAACCAACAAAAAAAGAATCAACTCAGTGGAATTCGCTATAATATAAAGATCATCTTATACGATGACCAGAACCCAGTCAAATTTGAGACTAAAAGCTAATGATGACATGACAATAGGAATGAATATCCGATATGCAATTCAGTCACCGAATGTCAAATATTTGCAAGCAGTTTGGTTTACAAAGTTGATCAGTCCAATTAAGTATAATGCTTAGCCCATCTCTAGGCAAGAGAAATATCAGAGAGATTGGAAAAGAACATGCTACTACAGATTCTAATCAGTATTGTTTTAACTAAAAGTAACAGTGCACTGGACCTATGTCATCTTTTGTATAGAAAAATAAACCTTTATATGAGATTATGAGGGGCAAATATATGGACTTATTTTAATTTTGGAGGACCTGGCAGCACTTGGTAGAAAGTTTTTATAATTTTTATGGATTAACCAGTCACTCTGACCAGATAAAAAGGGGGTGCACAGAGAAAAGCAATAATAACATATTAAAAATTATAACCATTTGGAGAGGACCATTCATATATTAGTCAAAATCTTTTTCTGCCTTTCACCCCCGGTCCTCTCATGTACCTGGTTCAATAGCATGCAGCTCATTCAAAAGTAGAAAGTTTGAGAAAGAAAATCTTGGTTGTGCATCCTGACTGATGCCATTCACAGGCACACTAGAAGTATCTGGACTACTAATGGATACTACCAAGTACCAACTAGCCATCAAAATTTCGTATCTTCATACCCGAAGCATCACTATTTAATTACTCTCTTTCATAACTAAATGAACTCAATCAGAATATTCGAATTAACTGACAAAATTTTATTTTAAACGCGAAATTACCAACATGTCATCAATGCAATTTGCGAAACATATAATTGACCGAGCTGCAAATAAGTTTCTAATTTTATTGATTGCATGCAAGACAGTGCTATGAATAAATTTGAGAAACAGATATCATTCACTTCTACTCATGTGGTGAACAGTGAACAGCAGGACTTGATTTAATACATCTAGGAAATAAGTAGGGTTACCTGTGATCTTAACTTTATCTCCAGGCTTCGAGTTGCATAAGTAATTGCTGCATATACCATTCTTCGAAGGGTCCTCTTTTCCTGTCTCAGGATCATAATAGACAGCACGACGAACACAGAGACTGGCTGTCTTGCCATCAAAGGAGTCTCCATACCTGGAGGATGCAATTGAATAAAGACGAACATTTTGGGGAGCTCCTGGTTTCTTCGGATTTTCACCCTGTAATAAAAAGAAACAAAAATTAAATTTAAATGACTGGAATATAGTAGCATTATCATAAAAGCATGCAAGAACAAAGTCAAAATGCTTGTTAGACGCATGATGTTGGCAACCACCATAAGATGGGACTTCAACATTAGGCTACTACAATTAATCTTCAACCATCTTAACCACCATAATCATACAGAAGTCTAATACTTTAGAATTATAACAAGCGTGAAAAAACAAAGTTAAAATTCATGTTGCTCAGAGGCATGATACTGAGACCCACCATACAAATGAGAGTTCAACATTAAGGCTACTTTAAAATTAAGCTTCAATCGTCCTACATGTCATTATCATCTTTGACACTGACAGCCGACAAGATACCCTTGTAGTAATTTGGTAAAGCAAACAGTTATCTAGCATCTCATTGAGAAAGCAAATCATTGTTTTTCAATGTGGTTTTCCCCCTATGATGATACTAATATCACGATACATCCAAAAAGAGCTTACCTCTTTTGGATAAGTAAAGAGGTATTCCTTTCACATTAGCGTAAGAAGTTACGAGGTGATGGCACAAAACTCCATCCAAAAGAGTAATGACAGTGAAGCACAACAAAGAGAAAGTATGACTTACAGGAGGAATAACACCATAACTCTGCCCTTCCCAGTAGGGAACATTGCCACCATGATCAATTACAATGTGACAAGTCTCTCCTGGAGCATTTGGACCTACAATCCTCTCAACAGAAACAATGGTTGCGGTATAAGGTTCCTTGGGCTTGTGTAAGTTTAGTGGAGGCTCTTTGGCATCTTCAAGCGCTAGAGGTGAAACTGCAACCTTAGATTTGCTGGCTTGTTGCACTGACATGCACACTATGAACTGATTTCTTGAATTTGCATTCTTTAATTTCAAGTCCAAAGGTAAGACAGAGATCCATGATCTATCATGAAATCTTATACTGTGTGTCTGCAACAAAATAAAGTACAAAAACCTTGAGAACTAAATTACAGTAAACACCACATACAGTTTAAAGTGTTTCTTATATCGAGTAAACCTGAAATGATTCATATACACAAAAATGACTAAAATATTACAATACTGGTGCAAATGACATAAAGGACAAGCAACTGAGGGAATTAAGCCAAATGTACCGTGACTAAATAAAAATTATCATAAATACTCAGACTTGAAATATTTCATCAACTCTAGTGGGAGGGTAATATAGTCAAAATTCAAAACTACACTAAGCGGGCGGAGAGGGTATGACCCCTCCCATTGAACAGAAGGGATCCGTAAGGCAGACTCACTCACATAGTGGATAGGTGGCTAGGAATTTTAGTGGTGAACAAAATAGAGGTATCTGTTGGTATCAATTGAACTGTTCAATCAGATCACACAAAAAAAAGAAAAGAAAAAAAGATAAAGATTCTTTCTAGAATGTTAATCTGATATGAACGATCCTCAATCAGGAACTGTATCGCATTATACATTCAAGTCATTAAATGAAACCATTACACTTCTCAAGTCCCAATTCTCCTGTTTAAACTGCTACCAGGACTCAAAGACTGTGTGTGTGGCAAAGAAGCTGTTGCACACCACTTATTCATAAGACCAGTGCACCTTTGATTGTTCAAAGAAATAGAAAAGCCCCAAAACCTAATTTCAAGTACTCAGACATTATCCTGTAAATTTATATAAATTTAGAACTCAAGTCTTTAAAACTAAATTGGGACTTTTCATATAGAAAACAATGAAAATATCAAACCCTATCCACTGTGACAAACAATGTGCAAGACATCCAACACAAATGACAAATCCACATTTTCAATGCCATCCAGATTATTCCATTTCAAACCCATTTGAATTTTGAGGTCCCAGTTTCCACACACCATTCCAAATATCAGTAATCGAAGTTAATCAGTCAAATAAAAAGAAATAACCCGAAGACCAAACTTCAAGAAAACCAAGACTATCATTTGGAACAGCAACTTATACGTACTTTCAAGATGCTAAACCAACAGAAGCCAAATCAAAAGAAATTTACGTAACCTAAACACAATTCAATGTTCTGAACCTAATCAACAAGAATAATCTATTCAATTGACGAAGCAGCACAGGAGTGAAAATGTTATGACGTACCTTAAACACAGGTCTCCGAAGCGCCAAATCGCTATGAACAGGGACAGTTACAGACAACTTCAACAAGCATTTGAGATTATATTAGACTAATCCCATAATTAATTAAGTAAATCTCAAAAAATAATCAAATTTCAAATTGAATCAATTTTCAAGATCAGAGAAACGAAATCCATGGAAAATAAAGAACAAGTGGAGATAGAAATAAGAAGCTTACCTGAGACACAGCTGAAAAAGCCATGATCGGATCAAAAAGCCCTAGAAAAGATGAAAGATATATTTATTGTGTTTGTAGAGAGAGATGGGAGAGAGAAATATAGGTTTAATTTGTAGGGAATAGTTTGATCGGAGAAGGTGAGAGAAAGTGATCCATTCGGATGTTGGAAAGGTCAGGTTTATTTTGCCGTGCCTCCTCGGTAGTGGTCTGTGCTCTCTCCCCCTCTCCAACAGCCTAAAACTAATCTTCCAATTTCAAACCATATGATTAAAAAAAACAAGTTACACTTCTTACCTAAATTGTAGTATATTTTAAATCATCCATGTGTAACTTGCGACACTTCCAAAAATGCGTTACAAATCTCCAATATCATTTGGTAAGCACCAGATTTTAGACAAAATATGTAGGAGTACCCACATCTTCATGTGGACCAATGTCACTACTAGTTTTGATATCATTCCGTTCAATAAGAAAAACGTATATATGGAAAGGAGATTGTACAAAGTAAATAATATCTATGTGATAATTAAAGACCTGTTTGAAAGTCGTTATGATATTTGTTTTAGTGTTTTTGATTTTGATTTTTAAGCCAATATCATGTTTGGAGTGGGTTGATGTGATATTGAATAGTGGCATAACAGATATGAAATTTGGGCCAAAAATCATATCACTAATTTGGTGATATGGCACTGTAACGGTGATATTAGTCCAAACCAAAAATATATCAACCCTTGTTTTTTACTCTAGCGGTGATATCAACTATAAAATATTGCATATTAGAATTTTGCCATTTTTCAGCCTCACTTTCTCTTTCTTCGCGCAACTCCATTTCAATAACAATTTTTCAATGCGTTTAGTAACGTTTTCGTTTTCTATTTTTGTAGTCTTAAGAAAGCACAAACATAATTTTGTTTTCTTGAGTGAAAATATAAAACAGAAATGATATTTATTAATACTTGTTGTTGCCATAAATTTGAAAACATAAAACAATAATTGTATTTAGTAATACAATATAATTGTTACAAAATGAACATAATATTCTTTAATTTTTTTTTGTTTTTTTCATTTCTATTTTATTTTTTTTCAATGGCAAGAATTTTAGGAATTAGTGATTAGAGGAGAGGGTAGATGACTTGAACACGAACTCTCGGACACAGGGAGCAACCCAACCACTCAAGCACGACACTTACTTCCATTAATATCGAAAGCCATAAATATAGAAAATCTAATTTAAAATTCTAAATCTTAAAAATACCCAATAAGTATAAAATTAGACATACCAAGTAAAAACATTCCTACCAATTATGTATATAAATACATGTATATACTTGATGTATACATTTATTATGTAATATATAATATATTTAGCATATGATAATTTATTATATTTAATATTTACATATAATATAGATATAGATATGATATATAATAATATAAAATATTTACTGCTTAATAATTTAATAACATTATATTCTATATCAAAAATTATTTTGTCACAAAAAATCATTTATATTATTATTTAATATATTATATATTAAAATATATTTTTATCAAATAAAAAATAATATACAATATTTAATTTATTTATATTAAAAATATATATTTTTATTAACATTTAATATGTAACTAAGTATATAATACAAACAATATGAATTTTATTTAAAATGAATAGTGACTGTGCACTAACATTAATGAAAACATTTCTATGCTAAAGTGCTGAAAACATAAGAAACAGCATTTTGATGTTTTCTCTTTTCTTCACAAAAATTGAAAATGTTTTATGTTATAGAAAAACAAAAACATTTTATTGAACGCGATTTGTTTTCGTTTTTCCTTTTTAGAGGTTGATAACAAAAAAATATGAAACGTTTCTCGTTACTAAACGCAACCAATGTAATAAATTTTTTTAGTCATATGAAAACACTCTAGTATCATTATAACAATAGATTAAATTGTCACTGTGCATTAGACCAGCTCATTGTGACACGTGTTTGGAGGAAGAGGGCAAAATGAACTTGTCATTTTTAAACTCAATACTTTTGTGTTACTAGCACGCGAAGTTGTGACAAGGATTCTCTCCTGCGCTGGAGAGATCCTGTACAAAATTTAATAATTAAGATTGAATTAATAAATGGAATTCATTAGTGATGATGCAATCTCAATTATTGAATTTTATATAATACCTCTGGAGAGGATTCTTATTCGTTAAGTTGTTGATAAATAATTTAGGCTCTCATATTTTTTTATTAATATTCAATCTGTGTTATATTTCTTAATAATGCGGCAGCATTAATTTTTGGCAAATGACATTCACGCTTCAATATTATACTTTTCTTCTCAGATTGCCTTTGTTGGTAAATAAATTGACATAATTATCTTTCAAAAGTGATCACATATTATAATTATATTTGAAAATGTGAACACTATTGGAATGGTAGTTGTAAACAAAGTCTCACTGTTAGTACACTTTACTGAAAAAAGGAAGTCTCACCATTAGGTGAATGACATCAAAGCGCCAATAATAAAAAAATCAATGGATTAGGTCAGTCAAAATTGTTCGTGATAAAATTAGGTATGGACTTGTAAGTTAAATTCAGGTTGATGAAAAAATATATAATTCATTCCTCTCATGTTACACTGAATATGTATGTATCTTTCATTGAAATACATATAATTCTTATTGGGCAAGACAATATTATGACTAGCATTTTGTTAAATGAGGAAGATTGTGACATCGGTGTTTATTGGTATCTCATTATGCAATCATTTTTGAAAAATAAAAAAGGGATAAAATGTAGATGCACCTTTTTGCACAAAAGAAGTGAATGAAGATTTGAAACCAGTAAGAATTACTGTTAAAAAAGAAATATGTATTGTGTTATAGAAGTTAGAACTCTCTAACACTAATGATTGTCCAAAGACTAAAGGATACTCAAATATGTCAAAAAAAAAAAAAAGTTTTTTGATTCTTCTCAGATGGCCCACCATATGAGACACTTTCTTTGTAATAATTTCACCCTCAACACCCTTTCTTCACCTTCCCAACAAATGCCAATTTAGTTCCATTATCAGCTTCATAGAAGTAAATTACATCTAATAGCGATCATAACCTCTTATTAATAATCAAGCATGTTGAGAGATACATCAGCCATCTTGTTTCACCCTCAATAGGATAAGATCATCTTGAACTTTTATAAGAGCCGGTACCTAACATCTTTTAATAATTTAAAATTGTAGATTGAATGACAAATCGTCCTACACATCACAAATGATATCAAAATCAATTCATTTAAAGAAACAAAAAAATAAAAACCATTGCTAGGTCAATTGTTAATAGTTGCATTGCACTAAAGCCCTCAAGTAAGGATTGAGAATGGAAACAATTTATAATTAAAAAAAACAATTAAAAACAAAAACAAAGAAGTATTTAGGAAAAACCATTAAAAACAAAAACAAAGAAGTATTTAGGAAAAACAATTAAAAACAAAAACAAAAACAAAAACAAAGAAGCCTAAAATATATATATATGCACATGATTTCATAAAAAAAAACATAACACTGAAAGAGACAGTAGCACACTGAGCAATCACACTACTTATCAGCTGTTGACGGTGATGATGAGGATCTTTGCTTTTGGAACGGAAAGAGAAAGAGAAAAGCCGCGACAACTAGCAAAGCGACACCAGCGATTCCGCACACCAAGCTGGCCACCAACAGTGCCTCCCTCACGTGATCGCGAACCTCCCCTCTCCGGCCGCCGCCGACAGCGGAGGAGCCCCTCCACCACGACTCATCGCTCATGTTCTTTGCCTCTGGTAACGGCACCTTCTGAGGCGGAGGGAACGTCGTCCCTCTGAAGAACGACAGCATTTCCGGCGAATTCTTTCCCGCCGCCGGCGATTCCTGGTACGCCAGTCCGTGATTCGACGGCCGGAGTTCCCTGCCGTCTGAATGTGTGACGATAGAAACCGCAATCAACGCCAAGTAGACCGCCATTACGACGCCGCATCGCCAACAATACCCCATCTACGGTGAGTCTTCTACTTTCTTACACAGTCACACTCTCTCTAAATCACAGGCAACCCCTTGGTTTCTCTCTCTATACTTTAGTGGTTATACACAGTTACACACACACACATATATATACACACACACACACACACACACACACAGACAGTCTGTTGTTACGTTTTGTAGTCTAGTCAAAAATGCAGCAAAAAGCGAGTTCTTCTGTCGTAGAAAACAGGGGCTAGAGAGAGAGGGGGTGTAAATGTCTAATCCACCGCTCCTTCCCTTGTCCTTTGCTGATTTAAAACATGACACTACAGTTTTTTTAACAGTGACATGCTAATGAACACAAATAAATGCGTTGAATTCTCTCTCCGCTTTTTTTTTTATTTTATAATATTGAATTCTCAATTAAATGCTACTAACATGATACTTGTATAATACGGAGTACTTAGTTGGATTATATGTGTTTCGTGATACAATCGTACACAAAATTCTAGGGATCAAGATATGTCCTTTACTAATTTAAAGTAGGACAGTACTGTTTTTGAATAGTGACATGCTAATTAACACAAATAAATGTAGTTTAAGATTCGTAGTCATGGATGAATTATGAATAATGTGAGTTTATGCAAAGTCACGAGCCAGAAAGGATGGTCTGTGTTCACGAGGAGTGCATGAGAGTCTGTAATTGAAGGTTTTAAGTTGTTGGTGGGGGTGAGGTAATAATATAATTTTAGAAAATCAGTAGTTATATATGGTGACTGGTGAGCATAATCAATGTTACCAATATCCAATTAATAATTAATTAATTTTCTCATCTCCCATTTTACCTTTTTATTTACCAATTCCACCAACCTTATTGGTCGCATCATTTAAACACCACTTATGGTTGATGATAGTCCACAATTATGTGTCTAGAGATCGAAAATAGACAGAAATTGCTAGTACAGACTACAGAGGTAAGGGCCAGAGTAGGAGATGGACATAAAGTCATGGCCGGCTACACTTTGATGAGTTAAAATATTCAAGTCCATGTTTTCAACCAAATACTTGGGCCGAAGCACATGCTTGGACCCAAAGAGCAACACATGCATCCAACCCAATGGATCCATGTGCTTAGGCACAAGTCTCCGGCTGAAGACTTGGCCTTGGGCCTGAAAATAATTTTCCGTCTTTGATTGAGCAAAAATTATTGAGAATTTTGGTTCACTAATGCAAGCAATTCCTATTTATCAAGTTCTTTGTGATTTAGCGGTACGTAAAAGTTGGAAAGTTCAGTCCCTTAAAGGAAGGAAAAAAAAATGTTTCTTTTCCGTTTTTTTATTTTTTATTTTGGATAAAGTGGTATGATAAAATTAAAAATAAGGTCATTTTTCCTAAATAAAAATGAGCAATTTTTTATAATAATATAATAAATATCAAAAGGCTCATTTAGAAATTTTGCCCTCCATCTCAAATAGCATTAAGTCAACTTGCACAAAGTCATAGATGACCCATGCATTTGAGTATTAAATGTATATCCATGTTTCGCAAAGAAGAGAATACTTAATAAAAAATTGAATATCATCATGTTGTTTTCTCAAATCTTTTTTCTAGTTATTTATTTATATTGTCAACCATGATGCACCTTATAATAATCAATTTACTTATATGTTGTTCTCTTCTTCACTAAACTTCAATTCAAAAGAGTGCAATTTTGATTTATAACTTGTTAGGTAAGTCAACAAAAGCATTTTTTAAAGTTACAATTCCATGGAACAGTTTATGGTTATTTGAATCTTCTCAAACAAATGAAGGATAAATCAGGTTTTCTAAAGAAACTTATTTAAATAACGCGCGAAAGGGCAGGGGAGTCAAACTCTTCTTATCTCATTACAAGATAAGATAGCATAAAGAAAACCGTTTTCTATTCCCATTGGAGCCAGAGATCTCTTTCCCTGTAGTGGGTTTCAAAGACGAGAATCAACTTTTCACAATTTGCCCTCCACAGAAATGGGTAGTTACTCGCAGGCCCACATTTGCCAGTGCTTGAGTCGATTAGCCACTATCCGACGTAATTCTCCGGTCACAATCACCCAGAACCGGCGAAAGACCGGCCAACAATTCGTTGAGGGAGTGTTACGCCTGGCTCGTGGACTGTTCGAATTGGGCCTCAGAAATGGAGATGTTGTAGCCATCTCTGCACTCAACAGGTTCATGCTTATTCGTGCCTCTCCTTCGATTTTCTTAGCTCTAATTGAGACTCTATATATCAGAAATATAAATGCAATATATATATATATATATATATATTCATATTTGTATGTGTGCCTGTTATTCTAAGTCTAGAAATGGGATTCCCACAGAGTTCATAGTGACCGTTTAGCATACTTGTGACCATCTCCAGACCCCACTTACATGCACAGCTCAAACACATGGGGAATTGCACATCTTCATGGAAAATTGCAAATGATTGGTTACATTGCGAAAATGAAACTAAGAATGAAAAAACATTATAAAAAGTTTTTGAAAAATAAATTAAACATTTCTTTTTAAAGATAATTGTTATTTAGGTGATGCATGTGTAAATACAAAGGCACTTAGGTGTGACTATTTTGTGGGTTAATTTTTTTTAGCTTCCCTGCTTCCATGAGTGTGATTCAAATTTCAAACAATAGAAGCTAGCTTGTTTTGATGATCTTAACCTTTTAACTGGTGATTGAACTTTTAAGATAATGTCAATTAGTCCCCTAGGTAGACACTTTCTAGGTTTTATATAATTTTGTACCATATATTTATTTTTGTAATTGCTTCTTTGTTGGATTTTTTTCTCTTTTTTTCAAGTGATTTGTATTTGGAGTGGTTACTGGCTGTTGCATTTGTTGGAGGTATAGCAGCTCCCCTCAATTACCGGTGGGTAAGTAACGCTCTCTTGTTTCTTGCCATGTACTAATTGTTAGCCAGTTCATTCATTATAGCATTTGGGATATAAACTGGTTACTAACTCCTAGGACTTGGCAACTATTTGAGGGTAGTATTCCTGTTCATTGATGATGACAAAGGCTGAAGCTCAGTGGCTTGTGCACATTTAAGTTTTTCATTAACTCAATAAAAATAATGTCCAGGAGAAGATTAAAAAGGAAAAAATTCTATTGAAGCCTAAGAATTCATTGTTGTTCATCTTTAGAGTTTCAAAGTAATTCCTGTCCCTTCTTAGTTACTGGGTGATTATGAAAAATGAATAAAAAAATATATATATATTCTTGATTTGATTCCTGGGAAGAAGGATAGAAAAGGTAGGAGTTTAATACAGCAGGATGCAATGGTTATCGTAAGAATACAAAACTTCCACCATATATGCAATCAGATAAAGCATTAGAGAATTTTCAACATCATCTGACTACCTTTAGCAACAACTTTTGAGCTTTGGTGTTTCACTATATGTTAAAGTGACCAATATAATTAACTACTATATAGTGTATGCTATATGATGCTATATCCAGTAGTAATTTATCTGAGCATGCAGAGCTTGAAAGAAGCAAGATTAGCAATGGAGGTTGTGCAGCCAATTATGTTAGTAACTGACACGGGTTGTAATTACTGGCATTCAGAATTCCAGACTGATTCCGTGCCTTCTCTGAGGTGGCATGTCTTGATGGATTCTCCTATTGATTCTGGGAGTATGGGGAACGGTATGTAATTCCGTTGACATCTACGATTGCTGGTAGAGATAAAAGCTTTTTCCTATTATGATTCACATCTTAATCTTCTTTTACCCTCATTTCTTTTGCCAGTATTAACTACTGAAACACTTAAGAAGCCTTCTTTAAGCTATCTGTCATTCAATTACTCAAGGGCACCTGAGGGCACCGCCATGATATGCTTCACTTCAGGTAGAACTCTTTCTTTTAAGCTTCCTTTTCATTTTCTTTAAATTTCATTTTTTTGTAAATGAATGTACTATAAAACTACAATTAGTCATTTAACCATCAAGTTGCTTCTGAAAACACATTTAATATGCTAAAAAATCTCTTTCTCAGAACAGAATTTTTGGTTTGATTATTTGTTTACTTTTTGGGCTATAGGAACCACCGGAAAACCTAAGGGAGTTACCATAAGCCATTCAGCCTTGATTGTACAATCCCTGGCAAAAATCGCAGTTGTTGGTTACAGTGAGGATGATGTATGCCTTTCCTCATGATTTCCTTTTCCTTTTCCTTTTCCTTTTCCTTTTCCCCTGAGCAAAATCTTATGAAAATGGAAATTCAAGCAATACTAGTACTAAATAATAAACTTTTGTGTTTCATTTAGCTTGTGGAAGAATGACTTCTAGTCCTTTAATTGTCTCTTGCAGGTTTATTTACATACTGCTCCCTTGTGTCACATTGGTGGGATATCATCTGCCATGGCAATGCTAATGGCAGGAGGTTGCCATGTCTTGATACCCAAGTTTGAAGCTAAATCAGCCATTGAAACCATAGAGCAACACCATGTAACTTCTCTAATCACCGTCCCTTCAATAATGGCTGATTTAATCTCATTAATCAGGTAAACTGAATCCTTTGACATTGACAACTAACATTCGAGGAGAATTTTGCACTGGAACTTTTGGAAAATCCTATTGTCGCAAAAAAATTTCCTATACAAATTGGCATTAAAAATGAGCCAATAGAACACGGGATGTTCTTATATTACTACTACATGTATTAATTGCTTTAAGGTTGCACATCTACCCTACCAAAATAGCGTTCTACTGTTGGTTTTCATTTTATGAGAGATACTTGTAATTGAGATGCTACATTAATTGTGCTGCTTACTGAACAAAGCCACAATGCAATGCCTGAACATCATGCAGATAGGTATGCAAACACTTTTTCTCCATTCTGCCCTACCTGGTTATTTATATTTGTGTATGTATATACACCTGTTAGAATTATCAATATAGCATGTTAAAAAATATAAAATAAAACAGAATTATCAATATAGCAACTTGACCTATTGCATTTCCTTTAGAAATTCCCTTTACTTGGAATTCTTAGAATTTTCACCCAGGATGCAAATTTTATAATCACATTCATCTTTGGAAAGCTTTTTACAGGACAAAGGAAGCTTGGAAAGGAATAAAATCAGTGAAAAAGATTTTAAATGGAGGTGGGGGTCTCTCTGTTGAGCTTATCAAATATGCCACAAGAACTTTTCCAAGAGCCAAACTTCTTTCAGCATATGGTGGGTCTCTTTTGTCCCATCAAATTCTTTAGTCCATTTTGTTTCAAAGATTCCTTTAACATGTGTTTGGTAACAATTTCAAGATAGAATTACCTAATATGGCCAAAAGATTAATAGATTGAAATCAGATTTTTGCAGCACCAGGCCGAAGATTCTCTTTAGGGTGATTCCAATTATTTTATTCAATTTCTTTCATTCAAGAAGTTGGATCCCCCTTCCCTCTCTAGAATTTTATTTTATTTTTTTTATTTTTATTTTTATTTTTTTTGTGGCAACGTCAACAATGCTTCAACCTTGGATGGTTGGTGAGGAACATTATGAGTTCAAGCTCTAAGACCCCAGCACCGGGCCTTTGCTTATTTGATTATTGAAAGTTTAACTTCATAGATATTATGTAAAGTGTCTTCAAATACACAATGTGACAATGCATTAGCTTCTGATCTCACTCTTTTTTCTTTTTCCTTTGAATTTCTGAAGGGATGACAGAGACATGTTCTTCGCTAACTTTCATGACCCTCTATGACTCAACAACTGTGAACCCTGGCCAGCCCTTTCAAGTAACTGGTGAAACAAGTTCCAATTCAGTTCATCAACCAGACGGCATTTGTGTTGGCAAGCCTGCACCGCATGTTGAACTAAGGATTAGGCTCCAGGATTCATCTCATGTTGGGAGAATCTTAACTAGAGGCCCCCACGTAATGCTCGGATATTGGGGTCAAATCCCATCAGGAGCATCTGATTCAGGTGATGCAGATTGGCTCGACACAGGTGACATGGGGCAGATTGATGACTACGGTTACTTATGGCTCATTGGGCGTACAAAAGGTCGAATCAAAAGCGGAGGCGAGAATGTTTACCCTGAGGAGGTAAGAATGAGCAACATAATAGACCTCCAACCTCAATCCAATCTGTTTATAAAACTGGTCATAGAGCTGGTAATCTAACTTAGCATTAGTTCAAGTAAGAAATGATAATTACTTATAAGATAATGTTATGATTAGAAAAATTAAACTCTTTTATCCTAAACAGGTCTATGAATTAGTTTATGGTCTCTGAACTTTGTTGAAGTGTATTTTTTTTAATAATAATAATTAAAAATAAAAATAAACCTTTATTGAAATGTGTTCTTATTTTGTGACTCAGGTGGAAGCCATAATATCACAACATCCAGGAGTATCTGGTGTAGTTGTTGTTGGACTTCCAGACACTCGATATACGGAGATGGTTGTTGCTTGTATTCAAATAAGAGACGATTGGAAATGGATTGATTTGGGATCTCATATCTCAGCAAAGAACATTGAATTTTGCTTATCCAGTGAGATCCTCCAGCACTTCTGTAAAAAGAAGAACTTAACTGGGTATTTCTATTAATCTTTATACTATATCAATGCTTACTTTTCAGCCTTTTTATTTCATCTTCTCCTTCCTTATGCTATAGGTATTCATACAGTTTTTTTTTTTTTTTTTTGCAGGTTTAAAATACCCAAAACTTTTGTTATATGGAAGAAGTCATTTCCATTGACAACAACTGGAAAATTAATAAGAGATCAAGTTAAAAGAGAAGTTATATCTCATGTTCAATATCTGCCTAGCAATCTATAACTACAATTTATTTATTTATTTGATTAATTAATTAATTTCATCTAAGACACAAAGTGAGTGTATTTTTCCCATCATCAATGGAATGACACCTTATTATATTGGCAGCTATAGCCAATTGGCCATTAAAGGTCCACCAATAGCAAAAGCATGAAAAAAAGCTTTATAAACATTGGTCATTGGAAATTATTGCTTTTCACTATAAAGGCATTGAATATTCGTAATCGATTTTTGTCAAGATGGTAGCTATCATTTATTTTCATCCATGTAGATCTCCCCATCCATTCATCTCAGTATACAATTATATATCAAAGCAACACCAAGAAAGACAATTGTGTTCTCCATTCTACAGGTCACACCAATTGATGCGCTATGCAAATAAATAAATATATGTATGTATGTATGTATAGTTTAAAATCATAACCCCCCCCCCCCCCCCCCCCACTTTCTAAAATCGTGCATAAAACCTCCACACAAAAAAAAAAAAAAAAAAAAAAAAAAAAAAAAAAAAAAAACTCCTGAATTAACAAAACTTATCAAGTTACCCCAAACCTGTGACCAACCCATTAAATAATTTGGGAAATATCAAATTTGACCTTATTATTTAATATTAAATTAAAGGATATAATTTTTATTTTAAAAATTATAAAAATATCCATGTCTTTTTCCAAGCACTTTGAAAGCAAAATTGATTTAATAGCTTTCATTAATATTTTTGTAAGCACTTTGGGGTATTTTTGTAATTTTAAAATAATAATTATAGTTTTAATTTAATATTAAATAACAAGGTCAAATTTGACATTTCAAAACTCATTTAACCGGTTGGTTATGAGTTTGGGGGTAACTTGATAAGTTTTGTTAGCTCAGTGACAATACTTAGATCATCACCTCTTATCTGGTCCAATAAAAATAAAACACCTCATCTTTTGTTAAACAGATCAAAAATAATAAAGAAAGGAAAAATAAACTGGATCCTACCCGAATGAGATCGGGTAAAGAAGGTTCAGTTTTTTTTTTAGGGTTCAACATCTGGTTCTCTTTCCGGCACCAAAAACAGCCCTCGCTCTCCGCCATATTCCCTCTCTCTCTCCATCATCTTCTTCCTCTCAAGTATCTAGTCTTGAAAGTGAGAAGAGATTTCGACCTCGGATTAGTTTGGGCGTTTAGGTGTAATAAGATATTGATTATTTCCTGTTTTTATTGAGTTTAGAAGAAGCGATGCTATGTTTTTTTAGACTGCTGATTGCATTATTTGGCTAAAGTAATTGTGGTTCTGTTTTGTATCACATGATATGAGCTATATGTCAGATATGAGGTTTAAGGTCTTAGTTTTTGTAAAGTTGTTCTTTATCATCTTGGTTGAAACCTGAAAATGATATCCGACAACCTCTATAACTCTCTGTTGATGGTGGTTCGTGAGTAGGATGAGGAGATCGTTCCATGTAAGCCAAGAAATCTGAGATCAGTATCCAAGTGGAGATCCAAGCGATACAAGGGACTCTTTGCATAGTAAAGATTAAGAAAGGGAAGGCCGACCTCGGTACCCAATGAACTCGAGCTCGGCAATGTCAGGTGGTTATTATGTCTTTAAAAGAGGCTGATTAATGCGCCTATTTATAGTGCTCATTCCCTCGGTCAATGTCTCTCAGTCCTTTGGGTGAGCCTGCTCTTACCTAATGATTTAAGGGTCTCCCCTCCTGACAGATGGGACATTGACGGATGGACCACGGCATTTTGTGCCCTAGTCCAAAGAGGTAACGACGCTCCTTAATTAATACAGATCTTGTCAAATATCTTTCGTAATTAATGCATTTTTTATCATTCATAGCTCGAGCTCGGGTACCGAATGTCCTTTCCCCTTTGCATCGGTCTTGGACTTAGGCGGTACCTTGGATCTCAGACACCTGTCCACATGTCCTCAGATTCTTGAACTCAACATAGGAATGAGCCTACTCCGAGGTTCTGCCTTCTCGACCTCGCGAGGCTACATCCCGAGTCTATATTTCGAGGTCCCTCTATCCAAAAAAGAGGGGAGCTCACAAAGCAGAAAGCTCAAGGTCGCTCCAGCAGGAAGCGACTTCGGACTAGCGCTCGGCACTGATGATTGCCGAACGAGCGCTCGATGCTAATGATTGCCGGATGAACGCTCGGTGCTGATGATTGCCGGATGAACGCTCGGTGCTGATGATTGCTGGACGAGCGCTCGGTGCTTCGGATGAGCGCTCAGCACTAATGATTGCAGGACTAGCGCTCGGTGCTGATGATTGCCGAACGAGCTCTCGGTGCTTCGGACGAGCGCTCGGCACTGATGATTGCCGGACGAGCGCTCGGTGCTAATGATTGTCGGACGAGCACTTGGTGCTTTGGACGAGTGTTCGGCACTGATGATTGCCGGATGAGCCTTCGGTGCTGATGATTGCCGAATGAACGCTCGATGCTTCGAATGAGCACTCGATGCTTCGGACCAGCGCTCGGCACTGATGATTGCAGGACGAGTGCTCGACACTGATGATTGCCGGACGAGCGCTTAATGCTTAGTCCCTTCAAGGGCAGAGGCATGCCAAATAAGTATTGGCCAAATATGCCTATTTTCAAAGATGGCTCCACTTGGACAACTAGCGTGGCGCGATTATCAACACTCTCATATTTATCATACTCATACTCGTACGTGGTTTTAGATTTTCATCATATTTGATGTCTACATGATGTGTGGTTGAACACACACACCACGTTTGTTATTCAACATGAATTGAAAAGCTTATCTTTTTTTTATCCAGATTGAAGTTAAGCATTTTTCTCTATAGTTTGCATTTTGCAACTTGGATTGGTTGAACCCTTAAAAAAAATTAAAAAAAAACCCCTTTTTTAGCCGATCTCACTCGAGTAGGATCAGGTTTATTATTCCTTTCTTATTTTTTTGACCTATTTAATAAAAAATGAGGTGTTTCATTTTTGTTGGACTACGTAAGAGGTGAGGATATTGTAGATCCACACTAAGTATTGTCCTTTTAGTAAGAGTTTTATACACGATTTTGAAAATAGAAAAAGATTTTGTGATTCTAACTCTCTTATATATTGTAATCTTTTATTTCCTTGAATAATATATCTTTCAAAAATGAATTTTTTAAATGTCACATAATATTAAAATGAATTTCTTTTTTTTAGGGCAAAAAAATGAGGAAGATCCAAAGAATATGCCAAAGGTACTCCTGGGACCAAATGACAAGGTTTTGGTGCACGGGAATCTAATGTGGGCTCATGTTGGCCCAGTTAGGACTCCACATCATTAGTGTTAAAATTCATGCTATACATCAAAACAACGTCCTTTTGGGAAGATGAAGGTTTTTTTACATATTGCAAGTACAAGTTGGTTTAAGTTTTGTTAGCTTTAATCTGTCATTTGATATATAATAAAGGTCTAACCTGTCAAAACACTAGCTCTAATCTGTCAATTGATACTACGTCTTTAATAAAGATCAATAATTGAAACCTACCCAAAAAGAAAAGATAAAGAATTATTCATTATCAATCGAATTTGATTAAACAACAAAAGAAAAGTAACATTCATAATCACGGTTCTCATTATATTGCTAATTAAAGTTTTAAAAAGCAATTAATTTGTCTTGACTACCCGAGGACGTTGCTTTGATAAATATTCTTTAATTGTGGTTTAACTAATAATATAGTGATCTTGACATTTAATACCAAACGCCTTATTTTAAAAAAAAACATTTAATACACTCAAGGAGCCAGGCATGTGCCCCTCTTAGCCTGGCCCGTTTACTATAATAAATATATTAAATTTATATTACGTATATTTTTACATGTATATATAAAAAAATTCATATAATATCCCCCTAAAATTTTTATTTTTTTTTGAATTATCTCTTAAATTTTATATTTCTTCTCTTTTTTACTCTTTAAATTAGTTTAATTTCCTTTAAAAAAAAGTCAAATTTTCCTTTTTGAATCAAACTCTATTTTTTTTTTCCTTTCAAAATTCTCTCATTTTCTTTCCTTTTTAAATTTTTTATTAACTATTTATCTTTCTTAAATTATTTTATTGATTGACAAATTATTTTGAAGTAATTTTTTTTCTTTGTCTCTTAATTTATAGAATATATATTTGTTGTCATGATTATTAATTTTTTCTTTTTTCTTTTTTAACATTGTATCCCCTAAATTTAATTTCTGACTCTGCCCTATTTAATACCAAACTATAGTTACAAACTAACTCATCACTTCAATCCATGACAAGGAGGTAACCAAATTAAAGTCTCAATGAAGTCCAAACTTGATGTTTCACCAATAAGTTCTAGAGTGTCCATATTCTTTATTAGAAAATTATTCTCTCCTCGGATACAAAAGGGTACTCAATAAGAATCTTTCTTAAATGTATAAATCTAAAAAGTACTTTGTTCGGCTCTCTTTAAATTGAACCTCTTTTAATTTTATATTTTACCGAGTTTATTGTAATTCAAGTTCATTTTGTTATTGAACAAACCCATTATTAAATTTTGAAATGTGATCATGCATTGTATGACTGATAGAACTCTGTTTTTTATTTTATTTTGATGATGCTGAATCTTTTAGAGAGTACCCAATAATTCATCACTAAATATGTCTCACATACACTAACAATGACCAATAAAATTTCTAAAGAGTGGCCTTGAGAAATTGAATGAGGTTTAAAAACTTTGCCATTGGGTTATCCACTTGATTTTTTTTTAATCCCATTAAAATGCTAATAAGACAATTGAATTATAATTAATCGGATCATATAATTATTATTTTTATTTTTATTTATTTTTTGCACAGACCATATAATAATTTCACCCCAAACACTTTGGAGGTCCAGTGTTATGTTAAAATAAAAAGATTATATAGACGGAGTACAACTTAAAATTAGGTTACGAAATTATTCCAACTTCAGAAAGTTAGTTGAACTGTAGAAGACAACAATCAAAGTCAATGATGGTAACTTTTGTAAATTAAGCCTCTGGTATGGTTCATTTTGATTATCTTTCTCCCGCTCGCCTTAAACTTGGACTTGCTTCTCTTCTCTAACAAGCTGGAGACACAGAGGAGAGAGAGAGAGCAACGAGCATTGTGCCCTAAAAGCTCTTATTAATAAGATTGGGGAGAGAAAACCCAAAACTTTAACGGTCATCTCGGGGTTTTCAAAACCTTTTGACCGTTAATTTTCGGAGTATTTGCTCGAAGAGTTCCCACATATTCACTGTAAGTTTGTAAGTTATCACTTTAAACTGTTTCATCTTAATTTTGAAGTGTTACTTTCAGTAGATATGTTAAACTCAGCTTAATTTTCAGTTTATCTGCAAAAAATTTCACACACGCACATATGGAGAATCTAGAGGATCTGATGAGTGTGAGAGTTTCGGATGGTTTTGTGACTGCAAGTGGTGATGGTTCACAAAACCATAGCAGTGCTTTTAAGGAAAATGAGAACTTGGGTCATGACCTTCTCGAGGATTTGGATTCGTATTTGGAAGATATCAACAACCGGTTGACAGTTTCGAGAATGGTCAGTGATTCTGTCGTCAAGGGGATAGTGAATGCTGTAGAACAAGAGGCGGTGGAGAAAATTGCTGAAAAAGAATTACAAGTGTCTAGATTGAAGGAAAGATTACATTTTGACAAGTTGGGTGTGGATGAAATTGAGTTTTTAGGGTCCCCAGTAGTGGTACACCATGGACCAAGAAGAGAAGAACAAGGGTTTTCTTATAGATTTTCGGAAGCTATGGTGGAGCATGATGAGTTGAGAAAATCTTTGGGCAGCCTAAAAGGTGTAGCCAGAGAACAGATTGAGAAGGTCATGGGAGAGATTTATGGTATAAGAGGGTGTAATTCAATCAGTCGGATTGGTTCTGGCTCCGGTCTGTTGGGGTTGGGTGGAATTCTTCAAGAGAAGGTGTGTGAAAGCTGGGTTGGGGTTGATGCAACACTGGATGCTCTGAAGGCTACATTGGACAACATCTGGGTGAAGGTAGACAATATGCTTCACTTGGCTAAGGCATCACTTTGTGAGTGGCAGCAGGATTGGGAGTTTCAAGGAGAACTTGAAGCTATGGTGATTCGGAGTTGTATTAAGAATCTTCAGGAAGACTTTGAAGAGAAACTGTGGGAGCAAAATGCTTGCTTTGGTGGCAGCCAAAGTTTAAATTGGAACAGAAAGATCAATGAGATTTCGAGCTTATGCAAGGGATTAGATGTGATTTCAAAGTCGCTTTCTGGTCCTGAAACTGGGCTGCTAACCTCTCATGGGTCTTATGATATGGATCATTTCCACCGCAAAGCTTTGAACAATCATATTTTGTCTTCTACTTCACTCCGGGAGGAAAATGGTAAATCTGATGAGTCTAAAACTGGTATGCCTGAGAATTGGGATGCTGCCCAGTTAAAACATATGAAAACTGATGAATTGGTGAGTTATTTCAACACCGTGATAACGAAGATGAAGAGGAACCATGAGTCTACTGTGCAACAGATTACTGAAGAATATTTTACTTTTAGGCGGGAATACCTAAAGGAGAGGGATTCTGCTTTGCAATTCAGGAACAAGGAGTTTGACTTATTGAGGAAAAATATATCAGAGGTTGTTATGAAATTGGACAACATCCTTGTAGAAAATGGAAAACTACCAGCATGTAGCAACAATGCCAAGAGTTTTGTCAGCATGAAGGATAGACTTGAGAACCTTCTTTTGGTAAATCGCCAACTCAGAGACTCGCTTACAGTGAAGGAAAAGAAACTCGAGTGTATTTCATCACAGGTTTCTGATGCTGCTGAGAAGCTGTTGCAGCATTCTTCTACTGAAATGGACTTGGTAAAATTTGCAGGAAATCTTAAATCTACTTTGGAAGATGCTCACATAGAAGCATTTGTTAGTGAAGAGATATATAAATGTGTTCTCAGGGCGATAACTGCTCAGACCAAATGTGACAATGAAGAGTCAGAGGTGGAGTCTACTGTTATGCAAGAGATATACAAAATTATTTTCAGAGAAGCTGCTCAAGGTGCTGAAGCTACAGGCAAGTGTGAAATTGAAGATTCAGATATGGACTACTTAATCATGGAAGGATTGTGTGGGGTTATATTCAGAGAAACCATCAAGGATGCTGAATCACAATTCAACAATTTGAACACAAAGTACTTATATGAAAATGAAAATCGAGTTTCTCTTGAAATGAAAGCACTAGAAAGAGAAAAGAAATTAAGCTTGGAGGTTGAAGAGAAGGAAAGATTAAAGCATGAAGTCCTCTTACTGGCGGCATCCTTGGAAGAAAAAGAAAAGGTAGCACAAGAAGTATCAGCTGCACTGATGAAAGAAAGGGGAAAGTTTGAGCTCGCTTCTCAAGAGCTTCATAATTTAAGAGACCATGTAAGTCAGCAGCAAATATTAATTTCTGAGAGAAACATGGAATCAGATTTACTAAAGCATAAATTGAAAGAGGCGTTGAAGCAAATTGAAGTAGATAAAGTGGAAAGAGAAAAGTTGAATGAAAAGCTTGAACTAACTTTGAAGGAGTTAAGGGAAGTTGAAGAAGAAAGAAATATGCTTTTGGTTGTTATCCAAGAGAAGAAAAATGATTTATTATTAGTTCAAGCCAAAGAGAAGGAACAGATGAAGAAAATGGAAGCAGTTATTGTTCTTGTCTATGGGTTATCAAAAGCTCTTGATGATATTGAAAGTAAAGTAGGAGAGGGTATCAAAAAGAATAATTCGAGGTACTCACTGCTTCTTCTTTTTCAATTTCCGGAAGAATTGCATTGACGATTCTTATGTGTAATTCATATATTTAATTTCACTGTGGCTTGAACTTCTGATTGAATTTCATGACTTAGTACCTTCTAACATCCACACATTTAGGGGGACTCTGTTGATTAGCTAACTTTCAAATTTTCATTGGTGAGCTAAGGGCGTCAATTTTTTCTTGGTCCTTATGCCGTTAGCTTATGTTTTTGCACCTGCTTTTCTCAGCTAAGCATGTCTAGTTTTGTTTTATATATTTTGTGTTGCAAGGTAATAAATGTGTCGTTGCCATACAATTTTGCTATTTCCTGTCATCTATTGTTTCTAGGTATGCAAGACTTGATTAGTATTTACCTGCCTCTCTGATGGGGGAGCAGTGGAAGTTTCAAGATTCAAGTCGTCAAGTCTTTGACACCTTAGAGAGGCTTAAGGGCAGGGTTGGAGCCTAGCCTGTGTGCTAAAATATTAGGACTAGGATTAGCAATAAAACAAAGAAAAGGAGAAAAGTGGGTGATTAATTACCTTCTCTTTTTTCCTCAATTTGTTATATCCTGATCCACAAGTTGATGATGCCTGGGATTTAGTTATCCTCCCAGCTTCTGATATCATTACTGTGGCTTGGTGTTCTTTCTTTATTTTCTTGTATTTAGAGTTTATTGGTCTGAAACTAATACACATTACACTGTTATTTGTAGGTTAGAATATTCAAGCTCTCAATTGAGTTCTCTTAACCAGAAAGCTAATATGCTTAGAAGAACAGGATTGCTGTGCAAACAGAGGCTTGAAAGGAGATGTTCTAACCTTCAAATGGCTGAAGCTGAGGTAATGAGATGGAACTTATCGTGCTATGAAAAGTTATGTTAGCCTCTAAATATGCTGAGTGGCATGTATCTGCTGGAAATGATAAGTTATACTGGAGATGCATATTTGTTATATTCAAAAGTACAATTTATTGGTTTTGTTAGTTAACTGAACCGTGTACTTGAGAAGGGCCTCATAAAGTATATCTCCATTATCAAACTATTCAAAAAGTGCATCTATAATGATTGTTCTTAAATGGTAATTATGAGTGGTCACACATATAACGACAACATTCCCTTTATGGTCCCATCCTCTTCAAGATTGGAAAGAGAAACTTTAGGTTCATCCAATTGATGCATCTTTAGCTTTTCTTACAAATGCATTCATTTTACGCTATCTAGTATTGCCACTTATTGATCTCAAAGTCTTTATTTTTCCTATATTTGAACAGCATGTGTTTTAATTGCTCATCATTTTGTATTGCAAAACCTTAGTCAGCCTTTTAGCCGTCTAATAAAAATTTTCGTAATAAGTGTCCACTAAAAGCACCCGATTATTAGGCTGTGCCACTATAATTGAGCTACCTATTACATAGTAATTTGTTTGTCAAATCATCCAGTATGTGGGATAGCATGTGACTTGGTATTCTAAAGTTTAAGAGCAGAACAAATGGCACAAATCCCAAAGATTAGTTTAATTAGAACAGTCCAATATAATTCACTGAAGCTTGCTGAACCACGACAAATTTATAGTTTGTATATGGAGGTAAGGTTGCGTGCATCAAACCCTCCCCACACTCCGCAATGGTGGGGGCCTCGTGCACTGGGCTAGCCTTTTTTATATATTAGTTAAAAAAGGAAAAAGAATTAGAATAGATAAGAAATTATTCAATGTGTCGTTATGGCAAGTAGTATTAGTGTTTTCATGGAAACTGAATGGCAGGGCGGGTCAGTGTTTTGATTCTTATCATCTCTCACAATAATTAGAGAAAAAAAAAATGGCTTGTGCATCCAAGAACAATTAATGCATGGGTTCACAACTTAGCTTTGTCGTTTTTATCTGAATCTTTTGTAGTTTAAACATTTTAGAAACTCTGTTTATCATTTTCTTACTGATTTTTTTCTCTGGAATTCAGGTTGATCTATTGGGGGATGAAGTGGATTCACTTTTAATCCTTCTTGAAAAAGTTTACATAGCTCTCGATCATTACTTGCCAATTTTGCAACACTATCCTGGAGTAAGTCAGATTGGTCCCTCTTATTACTTGTTAAATAACCTCTTCTCTTGATTCTAGAGTTCATATGTTGCATATGGGTAATGTTTTTTTATATTGGTCCGTGTGCTTATATGTTTCCTCTGATCTTACATAAAATTCTGGACGGTTTGATTGTATGTTCGCTTCTGTTCTTTCAACAAGCTATTGACTCACAACATGGAAAAAATAGGACAACTGTTTTTGGGTTTCACCTAATGGGTCTCTTAGGTTGACAATTGAATATATATATATATATATATATATATATATATATATATATATATATATATTTGTTGTTGTTGTTCACATACTCCTTGACGTACAGAAATGGAAAAGTTACAGCTGGAGTTTCCTGGGTTAATTGATTATTTCTCCAATTATAACAATTTGCAGCATATGGTATTTAGCTAACCAGACTCATCTAGGTCCCAATCTTTTTTGTTGCATCTTTTGTTTGGCAATATGCTAGATGCCAGTTTACTGTTCCATGAAGTCATTCTGATTCTGCATTATTTTAGTGTTCATATAGGCTTACCCATTCTCACACTTTTCAATCTGTCATCATAAATTTCATGAAATATGCGAATGGTAATGATTATGGCTAGATTTTCATAGATTGGTTGATAATTTCTCCAATTATAGCAATTTATGGCCTATGGTATTTGGTTGTTTGGATCCATCTAAATGTTGTCCCGTCATCTTTTTGTTTTATCTTTTGTTTGGCAATTTTCAGTGTTCCAGTTCTTCTATATCCTGAAAGTCCTTTTCATGATCCTGCACTTATTCAGTACATACTGCATTACTAAACAGTACACAATAGTTGGCAACATCAAACACTTTGATGTGGACTGTGGTCTCTTGGTATAGATGGGAGCACATGGGCATGGAATTGTAACCTGAGTGCCAAAATCAGTAATTACCATTCTCCAGCCAATCCCTCTCTTTCCTGCTCTTATATCTAGTGCTGAGGCACGGCACTAAAGGTTGTGATTTCTCGGTGCGTATACATGAGTTCACACTTGCTATACACACACTTGGGACCAGCATTTTGAAAGAAAATAACCCTCCTTCCAGGCTTGGGATCAGCTGTGTGAGGCTGAAAGCACAATATGTTTCTGCATATGCTTGCACCTGCCATATCATTTTCAATTCATGAATTTGGCCTTTGTTTACATTAGCGAATTCTACTAATAGCAATCTTTAGGAGAACTTCATCCTCTATTTCGTTGCCAAAACAGTATAAAGAAATATAATAAAGGAAAACAGATGTTTGTAAAAGACGTTGCATGGTGGTAGAGTGTTGGCATGACATCAAAAAAGGAGGGTAGGATCAGGGTTTTGATTCTTCTATTTTCCTGGGAAGTCGTGACAAGTGTGAGGTGGTGGGTTCAAGTCAGAGAGCAGTCACTTTGTGTCAGATTTTTATAGCTGGAATTCTTTTTTTTTTTTTAGATTTCTCTTGGAGTTTTTTTCCTTCAATTTCTTTTCCACTAGAGAAAGAGAGAGGGAAGAAATCTTCAAATAGAGTAGGCAGTTTATCATGATATAATGAAATCACTGTACGATGGGTTTCCTCGTTTCATATAACTTGGCACTTGGGGAGTTTCTGGTCTAGGAGCCCTTTATTCTCTCTCTCTCTCTCTCTCTCTCTCTCTATGGTGCTTATAAAGTTTTTCCCTTTGAGTGCCGTCTTTGATCTCTTTTTGTTTTATAATGTTCTCGTACTGTTTCCTCAATGTTATGTATTTCTTTTTTAAAAGCAGTAATTCTCTTGATTATTCTCCTCGTGCCTCTCCACAATTTACTATCAAATTTGATAGTTGGAAGAAGTTTGTTCCTTCCAAACACTATGTTATATAAATGAAAACCCTGATTATGCATCAATCTGAATGTAGGACCTATTGCAATTTAAGGGATCCTTCCAAGACTTTATTTATTTATAAGTCTATCTATGTATCTAATCTTTCCTCTTTTTTGCTGTAGATTATTGAGATCCTGGAGCTGGTTAGAAGAGAACTAAGTGGAGAATCTCATAAGACAGTTTGATTATCTATTTGACCAGGTAATGTTTCTGATTTGAATCATTTGATGAGTTTTCGGAGGATGCATTAGGTTTTTTGTTTTTTTCCTTGCATTACTCCCACCAGCTTACATCTTTGACTGAATGGATTTTTTAGATTGTGGATTCATATACCATCTATCAAGATATAAAAAGGAGAACCCCCTCTAAATTGGTCAAACCCTAGGTCTTATGTTCACATCTTGCATAATTTATTGAGCATTTTAGTTAACTAATTTAATTATATATTTATTATTATTCTCTGGGCGGAGGATGGGGATCAAAAAGCTGCAAACATACATGAGCTCTGCAAACAGTATTTGACCTATCAATTGTATTCCAACCTAGCTTAGGAGTTGATGTCCATCATGGGACAGCAATGGTTCTATTGGTATCAACCCTACTATTACAAGCTGCAGTCTAAAATACATTCAGAGTTAGGGAAATTATAAGCTTATAGCGCAAAGATACATTAGTGTGTTTGAATGTACACTGCTTTACTTCATTCACATAAACACATAGCTATATCTCATACTTCTACTTCTTATTTTATGTAGGACTAATACAAGGTTCATTTCATTTCATGCCCAGTGCTAAAGTTATTGCCTTTGGGGATGATATTGTTGTCAATTGACCAACTGTTTTTGTTAGAACGACTAAAAAGAGCAAGAAATTTCTTCAGCAGTTAAGCCAGAAAAGCGATTCATTTTGAGATTTTGTTCATTGGTCCCAACAGTAGAAAATTGAGGGGGGAAGTCCAGACATGTGTGACACCCTTGGCAAGTGGCTCGTAAGAGCTGCTTTTTGCAGTATATAATGTACAATTTCATTATTATTTTTGTCTTAAGCCGGAGATGCCAGGTGTATCCAGTGAGCAAACACATTTTGCTAGTTGTTTTCACAATTATTTCTCACACTTTTTCCTTTAGTTCTCTTATGTAAAGTATTAAGAATTTTAGATATAAGTTTGCTTCTAGTGCAATAAATGAAAGAAAGTTGTATTTGCATTGGATAATTATAGATTCTTTAAATCTTCAGAAGTATTGTGCCCTTTCATTTGTGTTAGAGCTGCAGCTAGAAGTATACATACTCTGGGAAAAACTAGAATTGTTTAAAACTAGAGCTCAATCTGGGTGGAATGTATTGTAGAAGGACTGGACCATTTAGTTGCCTGTCATACCTGCAGTACATTGGTTAGACTGAGATGGGGGACATGCCCTAATTAATCCTGTGTTTTGGAGTTTACTATAATCCAATTGGTTCAAGGTGATAATCTAAATATAGTTTTTATTTGCCTGCCATTTGACAGTGAGTAGTAGTTGCTCATTAATGCAAATTGGATATGTGATTATGTGTTGAGTGAACTACCACCTTATGTGTACTAAGGATTTCTGGTAAGTTTGGTCCTTGTGTATTGAATTTCACAGTTCATCACTTCCAATCACTTCCTAGGTCATCTGTTATACTTCCTTTAAACCGAATATTGGCATTTGCCTACAAAGGCGACATCAGGATGCACCTCCACAAAGGAACTAAAATCATCTCCAATGTACTGTGTCGTCCAGTGAACTATGGAGGGTGAGGATCATCCGACCAGAGGATCCCACACTGCTGATGTGACGATCCCCTCCCTCTCCCGAGCACTGGACATCTCAGTATGAGTTAGACAACTGTTGCTATAGATGTGTATGTGGTGTTGCAGTTCAGCTAGACAAATAGTTGGTCAGTATTTTTCTAAAATTAACTAAAGGTGGTTCCACCTTGTCCAAAGGTAGCTTCTATTGTCAAATCAGAATGCTGCCCTGAATGGTGGTTATGGCAGCATTTTCCCACACTTCTGCAATACTACTACATCAATAGCCAAATTTGCTATGACAATAGGGACACTGTCCAAGTTAATAATGGAGTTACATTAGTCTTATCATATTACTATATGAGTCACCCTACCTTGATTGGAATATGCTACCCAGCTATATTTGATGGTATGATCTGATTGATGAACTATGATCTCAATAATAATATAAACAAAGTTATTGCCCAATCAATTTCAAATTATGTATTATTATGTTGTTGAACGGATCATGTCTCTTTTTGTTATCTAACTTAATTTAAATATTGAGATTGGCCACCTAACCGTGTCTCCTTATTTTGACTGGATTCAAAGCACTGCTCAGATGGTCTGCCTTCAATTACAGGAACATGTAGACAAACTGAAGATATAAAGTATACAAATGGTGACAAAAAAAACTCAACATCCTCTTGTTGTCTGAGTAACTTACAGTTTATCATCTTACAGGATCACATCATAAGTTGATTATAATTTGTAATTTTTTTTTATTTTTTAGGTCATAGTGATGGTTGTACATGTACTGCAGCATTATACATAAATTACCAATTACTGAATCTGCGTGTTAGATTTGAAAATAATAATAATTAGTTCGAAAACTCGACACCATTCCCGTGAAGGTACTTTGAAGTGTAATTTTTTATTTTTTATTTTTTATTTTTTTTTGCCATTTTTTAAATTTTCGATGTCCTGCTATTAGAGCTTTGTTGTTAAGTTCTACCTTGAACTTGAACGATAATTGATGTACTATTATATCTATGTTAAGTTTCGACATTTAAATAAAAAAATTTATTTTGAATCTTCATTTTCATTATCGCTTCATTCTATCCTATTCATTTCATTTTTCCGTACCAAATGCAGCAGCGTAACTTTATTTTTAAATTTTCTGAGAATCGCAAATGGCTCCCATGGTTTCTTTAATTTTACTCCTTCCAAAATTCCAATCAAGCATTGTCAAGTGATGTTTGATAATACACTTTCACAATCGTCAAAGGCCAACAGCATGGGTGGGGTCACTCCCATAATTTGTGTCAAGGAAACTAACTTGCACTGTCCCACATTTTGATCAAATTCTTTTCAGATGGAAAATTTTAAAAATAAAAATAAAATATGGTCATCCAATCAATTTTTGACATTTATTCAAGAAGTTGATTTATGCTTCAATAGCATTTACTCCACAGTGGAAAAACGGGTCCTCTTGATTCTCAGAACCAGTTCTACATCACACAATGTCTCACATTTCAAACAATCAATGTCAGAAAATGACCAAAAATTGTGTCTATTGATAATTTCTTTTAAAATTCGAGTTTTAACAAGGACAACTCATTTGTCAAAAAAAAATTTAACTTATTTAAAAAAATGTTTATATTTTGCAACCATAATAAACCTAGTGATAGTCCAGTGTCAGTTATTTTAATTAATGATTGACTTACTTTTGTCCTAATAATTTTAAATTTTTAAATTTAGGATACTAAATCAAGATTTCGAGTTTAGAAAAGAGGAGGAAAAAAAACATATTAAAATGAATGAGGGGGGTGGATCAGGTGGCACTTTGTTGAACCAATATTTCATTTCATTTATTACAAGGTTAGAAATATTAATATGAACCAAGGTACTACATTAAAGAATACAAACTACAAACAAACGTACTGTACAATTGATACGGAAAAGGGAGAAGGCAGTATTATTTTTTTAATAAACAAAAATCAAGAGTAATCTTTTTAGTGGCATATAAATAATGTTCTGCTGATCATCTTCCAGACAAATGCATGTGACCCTCTCTTAAATAATTGTGATTCATCTCTGGCACCAACACATACTCTCATATCCATGTTCTCATCACTATCTATGTTCACTACTTTTTCCTATTTACATAAGTAAAAACTGTAGAGAAGAGCCGATAATGATGGCATGTAACAAATTTAACAGTGGCCATTTTAAAGTCTGATTTTTTTATAAAAAAAAATTCTAAAGAAATACTAGCTGTTACAGCAGTTACACCAACTATTATGTAATAAGGTACATGATACAGATGTCCTCATATTCTCGACTTTTCTCAAGAAACAAACAAATAAAAAGATGACATGATTGTTTCCAGTCTGTTTCAATTTTAAAACCCACTTGCTAAAAAGAGAAAACTTCACTCCCACCCACATTCTGATTTCTGTTTTGTGTTCATAAAACACCCATTTCCAGAGCCTCATTGGTGAAGTTTTTTTAAAAAAATTCTGTATCAGTAATACATCCATTACCACTTCATTCTTCTTGGCTCAGATCTGAACTTTATGGGTTTTGTTCTTAAAGAAATGGGTTATTGAAGAAAAGAAGTTGGTGGGTTTTGGCTGTCAACAAATGTTTCAGGAGGTATCAAATTCTTTGATGAGTTTGTTGAAGGTAACTTAATGTTTATGCTACAAGTTGTTTGAATGCTGTTTGAGACACTAGCAAATTTCTGTTATTGATTTTTTATATATGAACCCTTGTTGATTTCTTGGATACATTGTTGCTAATGTGATTCAAGAGTTTTCATGCTTTCTTTGATTCTTTTTTGTTGAATATCTCTTGGTGGTTGCATTTCAAGTTTGGGGTCTTTCTTTTCCAAATGCTAGAAAATAACAGATAGAACCCTAGGGTTTTGTAGGATTGGTGTATGATGAAAGTCCTAGGAAGGGAGGTTGTGGGACTACTTGTTCTGGTGATGGTTTCGGTATTTGTTACCATTGGAGAAGCCCAGCCTTCCCAGGCAAAGTCTGTTTTGGTCAATTGTGGTTCAAATTCTAGTGTTAATGTTGATGGTAGGAGATGGGTAGGTGACTTGGCCCCTAATAACAATTTAACACTCAGTACTCCAGGCATTGCGGCCTCCACTGCCACATTTGGCGGGGATTCAGCCTCTGCACCGCTGTATAAAAGTGCCCGGATGTTTACTGATAGCTTGAATTACACATTTGGAGCTACCCAAGGAAATTATTTTCTTAGGTTCCATTTCTTTCCTTTCTCCTTTGAGAATTATGATGTGAATAAATCCTCTTTTGATGTTGAGGCAAATGGACTCAAATTAGTCTCGAAGTTCAATGTCCCGGGAGAGATTTTGCACAAGAATTCATATTTGGCGAGGTCAGGAAGCAACTCAAGTTCATTGACTTTCATTAAAGAGTACTTCCTCAATGTTGAGTCTGGTAGTCTAGTGATTGAGTTCATCCCAAGTAAAGGATCATTTGGATTTGTGAATGCCATAGAAATTGTCCCAGTTACAGATAAGCTTTTTGTCGATCAAGTTAACAAAGTAGGTGGAAATGGTGCAAATACTTATCTGAATTTGAACAAAAGAGGGATTGAAACTGTGTATAGATTGAATGTTGGGGGTCCTGAGATTGAACCTGACAAGGATTTAGATCTTTGGAGAACGTGGGAAGGGGATTCAAGCTACATGTTCACAGCAGATGCCGGGGAAAAAATCATTAACAGCTCTAATATTACCTACGCTTCCAGCAATGATACCTCAGTGGCTCCTCTTCTAGTGTACGAAACAGCACGAATTATGTCCAATACTGAAGTCCTGGATAAGAGATTCAACATGTCATGGAAATTTGAAGTGGATCCTGATTTTGATTATCTGATCCGATTACATTTCTGTGAGCTGGTTTATGACAAGGCGAACCAAAGAGTCTTTAGAATCTTCATTAACAATCGGAGTGCGGCAGATAATTTTGATGTTTTTGCACGAGCAGGTGGGATGAACAAAGCGTATCATCAGGACTACTTCGATGTGGTGTCCACAAAAATCAGCACCCTTTGGATACAACTAGGTCCTGAAGCAGGAGGCAGTGGTTCAGGAACTGATGCTCTCTTAAATGGGCTGGAGGTTTTCAAGCTGAGTCGAAATGGGAATCTCGCCTATGTAGAGAAATATGGTGAAAATTCAGGAGGCAACGGGACTTCACAACGCTTAATCCTTTGGGTGGGAATTGGAGCAGGTGTAGCTTCTGTTGTCATTATTGCAGCTTTATTGACTCTTATCTTTCGCTTCTGCAAGAAGAGGAGAAACAAACAGAGAGACTCCAAAAACAATACTCCTGGATGGTGGCCACTTTTCCTTCATGGGGCTGTTGTCAATAGCACTGCCAATGCCAAGAGATCAGGGGGGAATCAAATTTCATACGGGTCTGTGGCTTCTACTAGAGTGGGCAGGCGGTTTACGTTTGCAGAGATTAAAGCAGCAACAAACAATTTCAATGATAGTCTAGTGATTGGTGTAGGAGGATTTGGTAAGGTGTACAAAGGGGAAATTGACAACGACACCCTTGCAGCTATTAAGCGCGCAAATCCACAATCTGAGCAAGGCCTTGCAGAGTTTGAAACGGAGATTGAGATGCTTTCAAAGCTGAGGCATAGGCATCTAGTCTCCATGATTGGGTTCTGTGATGAACAGAATGAGATGATTTTGGTCTATGAGTACATGGCAAATGGGACCCTCAGGAGTCATTTATTTGGGAGTGATGTTCCACCATTAAGCTGGAAGCAACGGCTGGAAGTGTGCATTGGTTCTGCCCGGGGACTGCATTACCTTCACACAGGAGCAGAGCGAGGAATTATCCATAGAGACGTTAAGACAACAAACATATTGTTAGATGAGAATTTCGTGGCGAAAATGGCTGATTTTGGGTTGTCAAAAACTGGTCCTGCTTTGGAGCATACACATGTTAGTACTGCAGTGAAAGGCAGCTTCGGATATCTTGATCCAGAATATTTCAGACGACAGCAATTGACTGAGAAATCCGATGTTTACTCTTTTGGAGTAGTTTTGTTTGAAGTTGTGTGTGCTCGAGCTGTTATAAATCCTAGTTTGCCAAAAGATCAGATCAATCTTGCAGAATGGGCAATGCGGTGGCAACAGCAGAGATCACTCCAAACCATCATTGACCCACATCTTGACGGGAAATATTGTCCAGAATCATTAATGATATTTGGGGAGATTGCAGAGAAGTGTCTTGCTGATGAGGGGAAGAACCGGCCTACGATGGGAGAAGTTCTGTGGCATTTGGAGTCTGTATTGCAAGTTCATGAAGCTTGGATGCATGCCAACGCCGCCACCAGGAATTCTTTTTCCAGTAGTCAGGTTGTGGAGAATGTTGAAGAGAGAGAAGCTGAATGTGGCCAGCACAGTGCAACTTTAGATGAAGAAAGCAATGTGGACTTGAAAATGAAGGAAGGGAAAGAAGGTGCATTAATGGGAACTGATGGATCAGATGGTGTGGTTGGAGTTGATGAATTTTCACAGCTGGTTAATCCACAGGGAAGGTGAAAACTAGTGATGTGATCAGCAGTCATGTTGTTACTAGCCTAAATTGTTTAATTCTTTTTTTCTACTCAAGTCCATTTAAACTTGAGATTTACATGCATATTATTAATGGTTTCCCAATTAGAGGGGGCAGCATGTAGAAATGATGTGATGTCTCAAATATTACATGCATATAAGTTTTGTATCCATTTGGTTTTTGGTTTCATTTGTTGTTGGGATTTTTCTCTAGGGCTCATGTTCTTTTGTTCTTGTATGCATAATGTGCTTTGATGTCTGCAGCCAGTGCTTTAAAGAAGAGAAATTTCCAATAGGTCTCCATGTTATATTATATCCCCTTCACTTTTTAATTTAGTACTTATATTCTGTAATTACTCCGTGCGAGCTCTCCACTCCATGGGACAGGTTAACTTTTTAATTTAGTACTTACATTCTGTAATTACTCCACTGCGAGCTCTCCACTCCATGGGAGAGGTTAAGCGAATTTTGTTAAGGACAATAATGTGGATGTGTGTCTTTATTTGAACTTTAAAAAAAAATATTGTATATATCTTATTCTGTGTGCCATTAAGATATGAGAGTTTTTGTAATTAATTTTGGCTTTAAATTTAACTTTCATTTCATATATCAAAAGCACTTATAAAAGATTTTGGGTAAATTACGGACTCTTTCAATTTTTTTTTTTTTTTTTTGAGCGGTCTAATGCACGCCCTAATTTGATTAGTATATCATAATTCCAATTTATTCTGCAAAGGCCAGAAGCAGTACAATGTCTTTTTATTAAAAATTATTATTATTATTATTTTGGTACTTGGAATTTCCGAAATTTTTTTTATCTTATTCTATGTGCCTTTAAGATATGAGATATATGAGAGTAATATCAAATCATTTCATATATCAAAAGCACCTATAAAAGATTTTGGGTAAATTAGGAGATAATTCCAATTATTTTACAAAAGCCACAATGTCGTTATATATATATATATATAATATTGGTAAGTCATACATCTATGTTGTTTTATTAAACACTTGGGCATTATTAAGATTTGAGGTGAACTTCAAAAAATGAGAAAATTTTGAGGCACAAGTCTAACCGAATGTTTGTAATGATACTTATACCGATTTGCTGCAATGAATTACCTAAACGAATGTTTTTGATTGATTATTTATGCACAATACATGTGAGTGGAGGGCCCACTCATTTATTTATCTCATTTATTATAGTGAATTGTCAAATTTATTTCTTTTAATTAGTCCATTTATCATAAATAAAGAAGTAGGGCCCTCCACTTACATATATTGTGCATAAATAACTAATGAGAAACATTCGCTTAGGTAATTCACGGCAACAAATCGGTGTAAGCATCATTACTAATCTAAAAATTACAATGGAACGAGTATGTGGTGGGGCCACCTTTCACTTCCTCTTGACTTGGTATACTATTTTATTTTAGTATATCAAAAAAAGAATTTTGAGGTACAATCTAGGGATGACAATGAAATCATATGTGATGGGGGCCACCTGCTCCGGCTTAGCATACTATTTTTATTTTGTATATTGGGATAATACGTAAAAAAATATGTTTCATAAATATCATGCAGCACAATCATTAATTTTAAATTTTATATATATATATATATATATATGATTGTTCACTTGCTCACTGGTATTTAAGGAATTTATGCACGAATTAAATCTTAACCGTTGAATATAAAAGAATAAACTATTTTTTTAACTGCCCAATGGAATCTAACGGTTAATATTTGAGGTGTGCATACAATTTCCTGCACACCAAGAAGCAAGGGAACAATTCTGTATATATATATATATATATATATATTTGATGTGTGTGTAATAAAATTAAAATAATTTTTTTGTATATATACATACACAAGGCGGGAGAGGATCCTTCCCAACCCCAGTGGGTACTTTTCTTTACGCGATTTGAACCCATCCCTCCTCGAATTGAGAATTTTTTAAGTGTTGAAACAAGTGAAATTCACCAATGAGTCAGTGATTAGCGGTATCAAGTCCCTACTTCTCAAAAGGAAGTTAGAAATTCAAGCCTTAGTAGAGATATGAGTGTATAAGTACCAACTAAAAAAAAAATGTGAAATTCAATTCATGAAATAATAAGTGAACTTATTGTTACTTGAAATTTATCCATTTTAAGTGACATTTAATTTTTTATATGAGAAATTCAAGTCATATTATCAGATGCAATTAACAAGTAAATAAACACTTATTTCTTTTATTATTTTACTAACAACTAAAGCCCAGTGACACTTTCTCACTAGCCCTATTAAATCTAGGGCCAGCCCACGAGTCGTTAACTTATTTTCCCGCTATATTCACCACCCAAATTTTAAATAACATTGAAGTTGCGGATTTTAGAGAAAGCCAGAAATTTAGAGAGAGAGAGTAAAGTGAAATTTAGAGAGAGAGAAAAGAGCGAACCAGAAATTTAGAGAAAGACAGATATGACTCGTTTCGGCAGCATCGAAAACCTATCATTGAAGGATTGCATCGAAACCTAGTTTTAATGTCGAATTTAATGATTAATGGTATATATTGATAATGATAATCACTCACGTCCTGATAATCTTGATAAATGATTATCTAAATTATAAAATTTGATAACCTAGATAGCTTTAATGTCAAAAGTACCAATTACATGTGTATTTTGATAATCTATTTATAAAGAAACAATATCTGTAGATATGACTTGTTTCGTAAGTATCGGAAACCTAATGTCGAAGGTTCGTATCGTAACTTAGCTTTAATGTCGAATTTACTAATTAAAGGTATATATTGATAATGATAATCACTCACGTCTTGATAATCTTGATAAATGATAGAATTATAGAATTCCATAACCTAGATAGTTTTAATGTCAAAAGTACCGATTACATGTGTATCTTGATAATCTATTTAGAGAGACACGGTTTCTATAGATATGACTCGTTTCGGGAGCATCGAAACTTAAAGTCGAAGGTTAGCATCATAACCTAGTTTTAATGTCGAATTTACTGATTAAAGGTATATATTGATAATGATAATCACTCACGTCCTAATAATCTTGATAAATGATTATCTAAATTATAGAATTCCATAACCTAGGTAGCTTTAATGTCAAAAGTACCAATTACATATGTATCTTGATAGTCTAGTAAGAGAAAGACAATTTCTGTAGATATAACTCGTTTCGGGAGTATCGGAAACCTAACGTCGAAGGTTCGTATTGTAACCTAGCTTTAATGTCAAATTTACTGATTAAAGGTATAAATTGATAATCATAATCACTCGCGTCCTGATAATCTTGATAAATGATTATCTAAATTATAGATTTTCAAAACATAGCTTTAATGTCAAAAGTACCGATTACATGTGTATCTTGATAATCTATTTAGAGAAAGATAGTTTCTATAGATATGACTCGTTTTGGAAGCATCGAAAATCTAACCTCGAAGGTTCGTATCGTAAACTAGCTTTAATGTCGAATGTACTTATTAAAGGTGTATATTGATAATGATAATCACTCACGTCCTGATAATCTTGATAAATGATTATTTAAGTTATAGAATTCGATAACCTAGATAGCTTTAATGTTAAAAGTACCGATTACTTGTGTATCTTGATAATAATCTATTTAGAGAGTGACAAAATCTGTTGATATGACTCGTTTCGGGAGTATCGAAAACCTAACATCGAAGGTTCGCATCGTAACTTAGCTTTAATGTTGAATTTAAAGATTAATGGTATATATTGATAATGATAATCACTCACGTCCTTATAATTTTGATAAATGATTATCTAAATTATAGAATTTCATAAGCTATATAGTTTTAAAGTCAAAAGTACCGATTACATGTATGTCTTGATAATCTATTTAGGGAGAGACAGTTTCTGTAATTATGACTCGTTTTGGGAATATCGAAAACCTAGCGTTGAAGATTCACGTCGTAACATAGCTTTAATGTCGAATTTACTGATATAATGATAATCACTCGTCTTGATAATCTTGATAAATGATTATCTAAATTATAGAATTCCAACCTAGATAGTTTTAATGTCAAAAGTATCGATTACATGTGTACCTTGATAATCTATTTAGGGAGAGATAGTTTCTGTAGATATGACTCGTTTCGGGAGTATAGGATTCGGGAGTATAGGAAACCTCACTTTAAAGGTTTACATCGTAACCTAGCTTTAATGTTGAATTTACTGATTAAAGATATATGTTGATAATGATAATCAATCAAGTCCTAATAATCTTGATATCTAAATTATATATATCTTGATAATCTATTTAGGGGGAGAGAGTTTTTCTAGACAGATTTTGTAGATATAACTCGTTTCGGGAGTATCGAAAACCTAACATCGAAAGTTCGCATCGGTATATATTGATAATGATAATCACTCACGTCCTGATAATCTTAATAAATAATTATCTTATCGATTACATGTATATCTTGATAATCTCTAGTTCATTTTATCATTATCTTTATTAGATCGATAGTTAAATTTTGATACCTGTTGAGAGTGAAATCCACGCGGTTCGATACGACACCGTTTTGCTGCAAAGAAAAGAATAGAAGATCGGTGAATCTTGACGACACCGGTGTGGTGCCTACCAAGAGCTCTCTGACGATCAAGTCAGTCGAGGTCTAAAAGAAAGGCAGGGATTTAATAATCATTTTTAGTCATACCTTTATTCACTGGTAGAATCGCCTTTTTATAGTCACTCTTCCTCAGTTCATTTGCGGGATCTCGATCCGCTTGTACGAGATCAGAAGAGATCCATCTGTTGCCATATTTGTCGAGATATGATTTAACCCTTTTGACTTTCTCAAATCATACCAAGGTTATCTTATCCTGTTAAACCACATCATCTTATTTTTTCCTTGATAATAAAATATTATCATTCTTCTCCAATGAAAATATCGTTGTTCGAAAGTTGGCGGCTGGTAAACACTTAGTTGCCTCTATCTCGTTAGGTCAAGGTAGTTTAGGTTTATTTTTCCCTATCAATAACAATTCATTATGATAATCTAAATTAACGTTTCATTATGTTGTCAATAAGGATTAAATGTTTCTCTTGATGATGTAATTACGTGTCAATTTATTTTTATTAGATTTTTTGTATTTTGTTGAATATATTTAAATTAATTTGTGATTATCTTTAATCTTTAATTAGGTTAATAATGTCGTGCGAGGACTTTTTAATGTCGCTAATATTTCTGGAGAGATATATAATTTTATTTTATTTATTGTAAAAATTAAATATGGAAACTAAAATTGAGGTCTGTCAATTATTATCATTTATTGATATTTGCGAAATCTATAATAGGCTAAGAAGAGATCTGTTGGCAAATTCTTCCACGACAATCTCGTTAACATCAATTTAACCTTAATGTGAGTTTAATAAATACTCTAATATCACCCATAGAAATACTCTTACTATAAGTTTAACCTAGAACGCAATGGTTCGGTACTTATAGAATTAAACTTACCCGTGTCAATGATCTAACGGTTATGAGAATTATAGAATATGGTTCTAAAATAATTCAAAAATGATCGAAAAATACATATACAAGTATAGAAAACTCTACACAATTTTAAAGAATTTTGGATAAGCCCGTAAGCAGCCACAATTGTGTAAAGAAATATAGAATGTTTTTGTCTTGCTTAGTCACACAATTCGTTTAAAGAGGGTCCGTTCTTAAGTTTCGCACGCATTTATTTCCTAAGCGATTTTCATACTAATTCACTTTATGTTAAATTTTTTGAGTCTTAGTACACCTATATTACCATACATCCATTTATTTATTTTTCATAGTTACCATATATGTATTTATTATTTACACTATTACTTAATATATACATTAATTACTTATACTCCACGTGTGTCCCTATGGCATTACTATACTACCATGTACACATATATATATTAATTATAAATGTTTGAAAATATATTAGTGAGAAAAGTTAACTTATTTATTACATATATCATTAATGGAATAAATAATAATAAATATATTTGCATATTAATTTAAATAAATAATAAATAATAAATATATATGTATTTTGTTGAATATATTTAAATTAATTTGTAATTATCTTTAATCTCTAATTAGGTTAAGAATGCCGAGCGACGACTTTTTAATGTCGTTGATGTTTCTGGAGAGGTATATAATTTTATTTTATTTATTGTAAAAACTAAATATGGAAACTGAAACTGAGTTCTGTCAATTATTATCATTTATTGACATTTGCGAAATCTATAATAGGCTAAGAAGAAATCTGTTGGCAAATTCTTCAACGGCAATCTAAATTATATAAGTTTGTTACCAAATATTTTTTTTAGAATTTTCATCAGCTTAAAACAATATCAATTAAAATCAATTCAACCCTAATATGAGTTTAATAGATACTCTTAAATCACCCATAGAAATACTCTTATTATAAGTTTAACTTAGAACGCAATGGTTCAATACTTATAAGATTAAACTTACCCGTGTCAATGATCTAACGGTTATGAGAATTATAGAATATGGTTCTAAAATAATTCAAAAATGATCGGAAAATACATATACAAGTATAGAAAACTCTACACAATTTTAAAGAATTTTGGATAAGCCCATAAGCGGCCACAATTGTGTAAAGAAATATAGAATGTTTTGGTCGTTCGTTTAAAGAGGGCACGTTCCTAAGTTCCACAAGCATTTATTTTCCTAAGCGATTTTCATACTAATTCACTTTATGTTAAATTTTTTAGAATCTTAGTACACCTATATTACTGTACATGCATTTATTTATTTTTCATAGTTACTATATATGTATTTATTACTTACACTATTACTCAATATATACATTAATTACTCATATCTTTAATTCAAAAGATTGTTTTTTATTCGGTGGTATAAAAAGATTCCTTTGTTGCTTTCCGTTGATGTTTTTATTTTTACTCAAATTGTCAGTTATAGTTAAGTTTAAAAGAAGCAATTTGCTTGGTATAACCCATGGTTTTATTTTATATATATTATAAAGTAACAAAAATTTTGGGAAGAACCAAAATTCCAGATTCAATATGGGACGATTTAGTATTTCTTCATTCATTCCCATCCAATCTAAAAAGATTTTGTTTTGGTTGGGTGGATTGCTTTCGGGATCTTACAGCAGCTTGCCAAACAAAGGCTAAGAGAAAGAAGAGCACAGGTATGACTGGCATAACATTCACGATTGGATTCAAAAAAGCATAGGACTCGGGCAATTTGGCGATGAAAAAACTACTCGAATAAAGGGCAGAATTAAGACAGATACAGATCAAACTAAAGAAATTAAGCATAACAGACATTTTGTTCTTGGAGATAATTGCATTTTGCTTGAGTTATTGATATAAAGAAAAATAAAGTAAAATAAGGTAGACCAAAAAATCTTTCTTTTTCTTTGAACTCACCCAATCAAAAATCCTCCATTTCTCAAAGGAGAATAGAAGAAATCATACTTTCATACAATATCTTAATTGAATTATATGTAATGATCAATAAATTCAGTTTAATTCTATATCTACACGTGTTAAAATCCTAGCAACAATCTAATTTATTTTAGAGATATTTGGGCTGGAATTGACGAACAATCAATACCAATATTAGTCTTTATTAGTGTCGAATATAAATCGAATAAAATCCATTGTAAAGATTCAAAATCAACAAAAGAAAAAGTAAGTGGACCTGACCCATTGAATCATGACTATATCTGCTATTCTGATATTAAAATTCGATAGAGATGAAATAAGAACAGTTGGCCTTTTTTATTTCATTTCTTTGGACTCCGCAAGAATTTGTCGATATTTCTGATTAAATCTTCATCTTCCTAGATGTTCCATAGGAATAAATTGTTATTCCGTTCCTCCACATCTTGGTAGAAATTTGATATCTTTATTTCCGTCTCAGCAAATCATTTTTTTTCCACAAGGGCTCGTGATGTCTTTTTATGGGATTGCGGGTCTCTTTATTAGCTCCTATTTGTGGTCCACAATTTCGTGGAATGTAGGTAGTGGTTATGATCGATTTGATATAAAAGAAGGAATAGTATGTATTTTTCGTTGGGGATTTCCTGGAAAAAATCGCCGCATCTTCCTCCGATTCCTTATAAAAGATATTCAGTCCGTCAGAATAGAAGTTAAAGAGGGTATTTATGCTCGTCGTGTCCTTTATATGGAAATCAGAGGTCAGGGGGCTATTCCCTTGACTCGTACTGATGAGAATTTGACTCCACGAGAAATTGAACAAAAAGCTGCTGAATTGGCTTATTTCTTGCGTGTACCGATTGAAGTCTTTTGAGAAATGAAAACGGAAGAATAAGAATGAATGCTTTCTCGGCAGGAGGGAAAAACTCAAGAATTCGCTCTATAACATAACTTAACTGAAGTTTCTTCAGAACGCTCATTCGAGCCAAATCAAACGTATACGGAACAACCATAAAACAAACTTTTTTGTCCACAAAAACAGTCTTTTATGCGTATGGAAATCCACTCAACTCAATCCGAATCATTATTTCTTTTAATTACTATCTATACCCTCATATGCCTCTCGCTTTCAACCCAATCGGTAAAAGGCGATATTATGTACAAAAATGTGTTAATTTTTAAGTGATTCAAAATAGATCCTATTTTTTGTTCATTGATAAAATGCATTTTTTTGTTTCAGATTTATGAAATCCACACACACATATATATTAATTATAAGGGTAAAGTACACTGACACCCCCTGAGGTTTGACATAAGGACAGGTAGATGCAAGTTGCTCTGTTTTTGGACAATCACACCCCTCAAATTTGATAAAATGGACAAAGACACCCCAGCAATGATGAATTAACTTTATTACCCTTTGATATAAAATTAACAAATACAATTGACTTAAATAGAATAAGTTCAAATGGGTTATCGGGTACAACCCATCGGATAAACCCAAATTTTCTCTATCCTTACCCTCTTTTTCTCTTTCCCTTCTCAGACCCTAAAGCTTCTCCTCCATCTCTCTCTGTGTGGTGTTATATATATATATATATATATATATATATATATATATAACCACCACAAATCAACCCCACTACATATACCGCCGCCGCATCATCATCATCCCTCAACCACCACATCATCATCGGCATCATCAATTCATCACGGTGATGAACAAGGTAGATAGAACTGTCGGAAATGGACCGGCGTTGGAGGGGTTGATTGTGAGAAATTCGTGCTGCCGCCAGAGGAGCATAAGAAAGATAATCCCACTATCTCCGCAAACCCCCTCCAAAACCCTCTATTTAAACCCTCGTCGGCCTTCCGACCCCTCCAATGCCGTCGGTGATGAAGTTAAGTCCGAGGAGAAGATTGAGGCGGCGATGACGAAGGCGAGAGAGAATTCCGGCGAGAAAATTGGGGTTTTGATTTGAGATGTAGAGCGTATCGTTTAGGGTTTCAATTGGAGATGAAAATGGGTCAACAATTTCACTGCGTTCTACTGTGTTGGAGACGAAGATGGAGATTCAATCCGATTGGAGAAGAGATTGATTTTGATTACATAGATTCGTGTTGTATTTTATGTTGTGGATTTGCTGGTAGAAAGATAGAGACAGTAGTGGTGGGGGTTGGGTGGGTGGGTCTCATCGAGGTGTCACGATGGTGGGTTATGGCGAGGTGTCGGTGGTGGTGCAATGGGCGGCGGGAGATGGTGGGGGTTGTTTGGGTGGTCTGATTGATGAATGGATTCAGTAATTTTAATGTTGTAAGTCTTAGATTGATTGGGTCGGATTGAGGTGCATCTCTATCTTCTCTGTTTCCTCCGGCGAGCCACTTCCACCATCTTCTCCGGCATAATGGACCACAAATGATGTCGGCAAATACAAAAACTAGTGCACCGCTGATGAGAGGTTAGAGAAACAAAGGGGTCACCGTCTGCATTGGATTCACAGAAAGCGGTGGCAGCAAGGGTCACCAGACGGAGCACTGATAGAAGTGGGACGCGACGGTGTTGATCGGTGGTGGCTTTGGCCGCTGAGTGTACTACATATACACACACGCATATATATATATATATATATATATATATATATATATATATACAGATGTAATTTGTGTATAAGGGTATAAGAGTCTTTTAAAAGTTTTGATATTTTATAATTTAAATTAATAAAATATTAAAGGGCATTCTTGACTTTTTAAAAAATTTAAGGGGCTGTTTGGATTAAAATTTTGACTAGGGGGTGTGAGTGTCCTAAAACAGAGCAATTTGTATTTACTTGTCCTTATGCCAAACCTGAGGGGCTGTTAGTGTACTTTGCCTTAATTATAAATATTTGAAAATATATTAGTGAGAAAGTTAACTTATTTATTACATATATCATTAATAAAATAAATAATAATAAATATATTTGCATATTAATTTAAATAAATAAAAAATATATATGTATTTTGTTGAATATATTTAAATTAATTTGTGGTTATTTTTAATCTCTAATTAGGTTAAGAATGTCGTGCGAGTGCCGTGCGAAGACTTTTTAATGTCGCTGATATTTCTGGAGAGGTATATAATTTTATTTTATTTATTGTAAAGACTAAATATGGGAACTGAAATTAAGGTCTCTCAATTATTATCATTTATTGACATTTGCGAAATCTATAATAGGCTAAGAATAAATTTGTTGGCAAATTCTTCAATAGCAATCTAAATTATATAAGTTTGTTACTAAATACCAACATCTCTTCGATTTTTTTTAGAATTTTCATCAGCTTAAATCAGTATCAATTAACATCAATTCAACCCTAATGTGAGTTTAATAGATACTCTCAAATCACCCATAGAAATACTCTTACTATAAGTTTAACCTAGAACGCAATAATTCAATACTTATAGGATTAAACTTACCCATATCAATGATCTAACGGTTATGAGAATTATAGAATATGGTTCTAAAATAATTCAAAAATGATCAAAAAATACATATACAAGTATAGAAAACTCTACACAATTTTAAAGAATTTTGGATAAGCCCATAAGCGGCCACAATTATGTAAAGAAATATAGAATGTTTTGGTAGTTCGTTTAAAAAAGGCACATTATTAAGTTCCGCATTTATTTTCCTAAGCGATTTTCATACTAATCCACTTTATGTTAAATTTTTTAGAATCTTAGTACACATATATTATCGTGCATGCATTTATTTATTTTTCGTAGTTACCATATATGCATTTATTAATTGCACTATTACTCAATATATACATTAATTACTCAAACTTCACGTGTGTCCCTATTGGATTACTATATTACCACACACACATATATTAATTATAAAAATATATTAGTGAGAAAAGTTAACTTATTTATTACATATATCGTTAATGGAATAAATAATAATAAATATATCTGCATATTAATTTAAATAAAATATATATATATATGTATTTTGTTGAATATATTTAAATTAATTTGTGATTATCTTTAATCTCTAATTAGGTTAAGAATGCCGTGCGAGTGCCGTACGAAGACTTTTTAATGTCCCTGATGTTTCTGGAAAGGTATATAATTTTATTTTATTTACTGTAAAGACTAAATATGGAAACTGAAATTGAGGTCTGTCAATTATTATCAACTCTTTAATGTCGCTGATGTTTCTGGAGAGGTATATAATTTTAGAGTAAAGCTATTGTGAGCTCGCACTCGCAATAGCACCAACGAGCTCTCACTGTGAGCCACACGATCTGTTTATTTAGGATTCGGAAGAAAAGTGAGGACAATACCACTCGCACCTGATCATCTCCCTCTCTCATCCCCTCTGCACTGTCTTTGCCCTCTATCTATCTCACCCTCACTTTTGCAAAACCCAGATCAAACAAACCCAAAAAAACCCCATCTCTCCTAACCCAAATTCATCACCTCAACCTTCGCCTGAAAATTAAACCTTCATGAACAAATAGCATTTTTTTTTTTTTTTTTGCCCCCTTTTCTCCTCTGTTTCCTCTCTGTCTCTCTCCCAAATTAGTCTTTTGTTTTTGTTTTTTCATTTTTGGCCTTTCTCTCTCCTCTATATATGAACAGCCACCGCCGGCCACCATCGTTTCTTCTTCTTCTTTTTCCCCTGCCTTTTCTCCTCTGTTTCCTCTCCGTCTCTCCCCCAAATCAATTTTTTTTTTCTTTATTTTTGGCCTTTCTCTCTCCTCTATATAAACAACTACCACCATCCTCTCCAAATACCGCCACAATCTCCACCTCAGCTTCCCAGTTCTCATCTCTCCCCTATATTGTAAAATAGCCCATCAAAGTCGTTCTTCACGGTGGCCGACTTGCTGCCATATCCGTCCTCTGTCATCGCCGATCTGGTTTGCCGGTGAAAGAATCATCGGCGGGTCGCTGGCAGCTTTCTCACTCTATCTCTTCTTCGCCGAAAGTAATAAAGATGAAAAAAAAAAAAGCTATAGAGAAAGAGAAAACAAAGAGAGTCTGAAAGTTTGAGGAGAGAGAAATGGAAAGCTTGAGAGTTGGAGGAGAGAGAAAGGGAAGGCTTGAGGAGAGAGGAGAAAGAAGAGAGAAGGGAGAAAAAAAAAAAAATTCTGATCACAAGACCGATCAATCTAATGGTTCAATAGCGAGAGCTCGTTGGTGCTATTGCGAGCGCGCGCTCGCAATATCATTACTCATAATTTTATTTTATTTATTGTAAAAACTAAATATGGAAATTGAAATTAAGGTCTATCAATTATTATCATTTATTGACATTTGTAAAATATATAATAGGCTAAAAAGAGATCTATTGGCAAATTCTTCAACAACAATCTAAATTATATAAGTTTGTTACTAAATACCAACATTTCTTCAATTTTTTTTAAATTTTTAACAGCTTAAATCATTATCAATTAATATCAATTCAACCCTAATGTGAGTTTAATAGATACTCTCAAATCACCCATAGAAATACTCTTACTATAAGTTTAACCTAGAATGCAATGGTTCAATACCCGTGTCAATGATACAACGGTTATGAGAATTATAGAATATGGTTCTAAAATAATTCAAAAATGATCAGAAAATACATATACAAGTATAGAAAACTCTACACAATTTTAAAGAATTTTGGATAAGCCCATAAGTGGTCGTTCGTTTAAAGAGGGCACGTTCTTAAGTTCCGCACGCATTTATTTTCCTAAACGATTTTCATACTAATTCACTTTATGTTAAATTTTTTAGAATCTTAGTACACCTATATTACCGTACATGCATTTATTTATTTTTCGTAGTTACCATATATGCATTTATTACTTACACTATTACTCAATATATACATTAATTAC